GGCTACATACACACAAGGCTACATACACACACCGCTACATACACACACGGCGACGTACACACACCGCTACATACACACACGGCGACATACACACACGGCCACATAAACACACGGCTACATACACACACCGCTACATACACACAAGGCTACATACACACACGGCGACATACACACACGGCGACATACACACACGGCGACATACACACACGGCTACATACACACACGGCGACATACACACACGGCCACATACACACACGGCGACATACTCACACGGCCACATACACACACGGCTACATACACACACCGCTACATACACACAAGGCTACATACACACACGGCGACATACACACACGGCGACATACACACACGGCCACATACACACACGGCTACATACACACACGGCGACATGCACACACGGCGACATACACACACGGCGACATACACACACGGCGACATACACACACGGCGACCTACACACACGGCTACATACACACACGGCGACATACACAAACGGCGACATACACACACGGCTACATACACACACGGCGACGTACACACACGGCGACGTACACACACGGCTACATACACACAAGACTACATACACACACCGCTACATACACACAAGGCTACATACACACACGGCGACATACACACACGGCCACATACACACACGGCGACATACACACACGGCTACATACACACACGGCGACATACACACACGGTTACATACACACAAGGCTACATACACACACGGCTACATACACACAAGGCTACATACACACACCGCTACATACACACACGGCGACGTACACACACCGCTACATACACACACGGCGACATACACACACGGCCACATAAACACACGGCTACATACACACACCGCTACATACACACAAGGCTACATACACACACGGCGACATACACACACGGCGACATACACACACGGCGACATACACACACGGCTACATACACACACGGCGACATACACACACGGCCACATACACACACGGCGACATACTCACACGGCCACATACACACACGGCTACATACACACACCGCTACATACACACAAGGCTACATACACACACGGCGACATACACACACGGCGACATACACACACGGCGACATACACACACGGCTACATACACACACGGCGACATACACAAACGGCGACATACACACACGGCTACATACACACACGGCGACGTACACACACGGCGACGTACACACACGGCTACATACACACAAGACTACATACACACACCGCTACATACACACAAGGCTACATACACACACGGCGACATACACACACGGCCACATACACACACGGCGACATACACACACGGCTACATACACACACGGCGACATACACACACGGCTACATACACACAAGGCTACATACACACACGGCTACATACACACAAGGCTACATACACACACCGCTACATACACACACGGCGACGTACACACACCGCTACATACACACACGGCGACATACACACACGGCCACATAAACACACGGCTACATACACACACCGCTACATACACACACGGCCACATACACACACGGCGACATACTCACACGGCCACATACACACACGGCTACATACACACACCGCTACATACACACAAGGCTACATACACACACGGCGACATACACACACGGCGACATACACACACGGCGACATACACACACGGCTACATACACACACGGCGACATACACACAAGGCTACATACACACACCGCTACATACACACACGGCGACATACACACACGGCGACATACACACACGGCGACATACACACACGGCGACATACACACACGGCTACATACACACACGGCTACATACACACAAGGCGACATACACACACGGCTACATGCACACACAACTATGAATTATACTCTTATAGCTGTAACACACTGGCTGAGGAGGGAACGTGAGTATCATTGATACGAATTAATTGTAATGTTTCAGCACCATTGGGTCATTCAATGCCGCCATGAATGTAGCCTATTTTAAGAAAATGTAAAAATACTTAGAGCCAAAGGCAAGTTCAGCGGTGTCGAGCCTACGGAGAATTCCATTTGCCGCTGCAGGCAGGCATCAGCAGTAGCAGCATCATCAGCAGTAGCAGCATCATCACGAGCAGTAGCAGCATCAGCAGTAGCAGCAGCATCATCATGAGCAGTAGCAACATCAGCAGTAGCAGCATCAGCAGCAGCATTATCATCAGCAGCATCATCAGCAGTAGCAGCATCAGCACCAGCAGCAGCATCAGCATCAGTAGCAGCAGCATCAGCAGACGGTCCGGAAATGTTAAGCTGTTACAATGTTAATAATAAAACACGTCAATGCATTTGGTGTAGTAAATGCACAATGGTAATACCCTGCTTTATATCGGGGTTGCGTCCCTGAAAGGTGCGATTACGAATATCGAAACGTCAAATAAATCGATTTACAGCGGTCGGTGGTGGAGGCGAAGGCTGAGAGGCGGCGGGTAAGAGAAAGGATGTTGCTGTCAGCGACGTAAGTGTGGGGTTGAGGCGACGCTAATCAGGTCGCGGTGTTAATAAAACATCAATTTGGGGGGCTCTCATCGACTGTCCCCTCCCCCCGTGGATCTGCCACTGGTGGCAGTGACATCTGAACATGTCCGGGGCCCCCCACTCTTCTCGCACTTTGACCAGCGTGGTGAAGTATGGTCAAGCAATCCCTGTGACCGGCGCGGCGTGTTGGGGAGGCCTGGTTGCTATTTCAGGGCAATGGCTGCTCGCAAATAGTCACCGGCAGTGGATGCCTCAGGGTCGCAGTTGATTGGCCAAGGGCCACCACGCTGTAGAATTATGATGATAATGATTATAATGATAATCACCGTTTATAATCACCGTGGCGAACGTTGTCGACCGCCACTGCTTCAGCTCCGCCAACATTCGAGCTTGATCCAAGCCAGGCCCTCGAGCCCGTGGTGCCACTCGGGGCTATTTGATGGCAATCGTTGTCATTGTTACCAGAAACACTTATTACTACGAGCAACTACGGCAAATTGGCACGACGATTGTATATATAAGCATAATGCAATAGACATCGAGATCATACGACTGCATTTTGATAATTTTCCTCGGAATAATATCTTAATAAAATGCGGCAGTGCCCCCTCCATTGCCACTCAGGGAGACACCACGTTACATATTTACGTATGTACAGTATGTAGAACTTCTTTCGCACCGTACGTAGCCAACCGTGCTAGTCGGAGGTGAAACATCTGACAAAATCAGAGCAATCCCCACGACAGTGGTGACACCTCAACAGTCGGTGCGGCATCGCTGACAAAAGTGGCTCCACATTTCCCCTATGTAGGGTAGCCGAGCTGCACCTCAACATCACGATCACGCCATCGTCACGGACCCAAACCATCGAGACCACCAACTCACCACCAACTCATTCCACCCTCTGACAGATCCCACGGGAGACACACAGCCACCTCCAAGCTCTGCCTCCACAGTCTCGTACCACTATCTGCTCTTAAATCTTATCCTTGTGGAGGCCACTCTGAATCCTGTTGCGGTAACCTGCCATTCCCTCCGTGCGTCTCCCTTGTCCTACCCACGTATCCTGCCAGGTAGCTGCACCGACTGTGGCGTAAACGTGAGCGGATAAATAAAACCTCTGCAAAAGCCTTCATGCAATTCGAGCATTGCTGTCGATTCTCCCGCATGTGTTTCCAACACTTGGACCTCGCACCAACCCTGCCGGTGGTCTTTACGCCGCTGGGACTGATGTCAATGCCTCCTGTGCTACCCCAGGGCACAGCGCGTCAGTGCATCTCCTGATTGAAAACTCTTGTTTTAATAACTTTTTTGTGTGTTTAGTTTGTTGTCCTTCCCGCGCACCTCCGATGAGCGCGGTTGGCTACGTACAGTGGTAAAGAAGTTAAACGCACACACATACATTAAGCCTCCTCTTCTGCGCCGTTATCCATTAGCTCGGCAAGGCCAGACCTCAAAAACCCGAGCGGCTCGCCGTGGACACGCCGCACGTATCTCGCCCTCTTGACGAAGCCATTGCGAGTGTGCATGCGCGCCGTGCCAAGCCAGCTGGCCGGGGTTCTGCTCCCCCAGGCCCTGACGGCAGGGGGGACGCTGGCAATGGGCCTCTCGCAGCTCCGTCGCACACACACGGCCCGCACTGCAGACACAGACTTTGTCTTTATGTGGGTGTCGGAATTTTTTTTATTTTTGTATCAAGCTCAACTCACTCACAAGCGTGATCCCTCCCACCTTTTTTATATTTCCGAGTGAGATATGGACCGTTGCAGGGACACCGTATATATAGAGAATCCATTGGCGATTTTCGGCAGTTGATTTATAACCTCCCTTAGAGCCTCGTCCATCTTTGCAAACATCGCTCAGAACAACTGCTCCAGTCTCTCGGCAGCATTCGGTGGAATTTTGATGGTGTCTGACAAACTTTGCTGCTCTGCTAGTCCAGAAGTGATAGGCTAAGTTGTCGGTCAATTTAAATATACATATATTTTTACTAACATATTTTTCGCTGTGTATTTAGCGACAGAGACACTGCTAAACTTGAGGACATTATGATGTATCTCCTGTTAGCGCTTTTGATCCATTCCTGCCCAGCTTTTTCCCAGGTCACCACAACCACTGAGGTGAACTTCTCCGGTGAGTAACACTCCTCTGTGACGCTGTTGTGTCTCTGCCAACATTACAAGTTCGCAGGTCCCTGCAAATGGAGCTGTAGGTTAAATCTACCGCGTGCGACTCAAAGCGCGCGCACACACACACCAAATACGCCACACACACCACACACACCGCACACACCACACACATACACCACACACACCACATACACCACACACACACCACACACATACACCACACACACACCACGCACACCACACACATACACCACACACACCACACACATACACCACACACACCACACACACACCACACCCACACCACACACGCACACCACACACCCCACACACACACACATCACGCACATCACACACACACCACACGATCACTGCCTCCGCGCTGCTTTAACACGGAAAGCACGATATCTCTGTGTGTTAAGCGGCTTTAGCAGTGACGGAAATCCATCCTCGGAGTGGCGACGTCTCGTCTTGTGCGTGCGTGCAGGAGATTTGTGCTGTGTGTGTATCGAGCGTTTTCGTGTTATTGTTTTCCCGGGGTGAAGTATAAAGGATCTCGTGGTTTTCCGGCACGTAATCCCAGCGGGAGGCTCCACTCACCTCGTCCGGGGTTAATGACGAAGTGGGGTACGGAATCGCAATCGGCCCGGCTCCTCTCTGAACGTCCCCGGCTCCTCTCTGAACGTCCCCGGCTCCTCTCTCAACGTCCCCGGCTCCTCTCTGAACGTCCCCGGCTCCTCTCTGAACGTCCCCGGCTCCTCTCTGAACGTCCCCGGCTCGTCTCTGAACGTCCCCGGCTCCTCTCTGAACGTCCCCGGCTCCTCTCTGAACGTCCCCGGCTCGTCTCTGAACGTCCCCGGCTCGTCTCTGAACGTCCCCGGCTCCTCTCTGAACGTCCCCGGCTCCTCTCTGAACGTCCCCGGCTCCTCTCTGAACGTTCCCGGCTCCTCTCTGAACGTCCCCGGCTCCTCTCTGAACGTCCCCGGCTCGTCTCTGAACGTCCCCGGCTCGTCTCTGAACGTCCCCGGCTCCTCTCTGAACGTCCCCGGCTCCTCTCTGAACGTCCCCGGCTCCTCTCTCAACGTCCCCGGCTCCTCTCTGAACGTCCCCGGCTCCTCTCTGAACGTCCCCGGCTCCTCTCTGAACGTCCCCGGCTCCTCTCTGAACGTCCCCGGCTCCTCTCTGAACGTCCCCGGCTCCTCTCTGAACGTCCCCGGCTCGTCTCTGAACGTCCCCGGCTCGTCTCTGAACGTCCCCGGCTCCTCTCTGAACGTCCCCGGCTCCTCTCTGAACGTCCCCGGCTCCTCTCTCAACGTCCCCGGCTCCTCTCTGAACGTCCCCGGCTCCTCTCTGAACGTCCCCGGCTCCTCTCTGAACGTCCCCGGCTCCTCTCTGAACGTTCCCGGCTCCTCTCTGAACGTCCCCGGCTCCTCTCTGAACGTCCCCGGCTCCCCTCTGAACGTCCCCGGCTCCTCTCTGAACGTCCCCGGCTCGTCTCTGAACGTCCCCGGCTCCTCTCTGAACGTCCCCGGCTCCTCTCTGAACGTCCCCGGCTCCTCTCTCAACGTCCCCGGCTCCTCTCTGAACGTCCCCGGCTCCTCTCTGAACGTCCCCCGGCTCCTCTCTGAACGTCCCCGGCTCCTCTCTGAACGTCCCCGGCTCCTCTCTGAACGTCCCCGGCTCCTCTCTGAACGTCCCCGGCTCGTCTCTGAACGTCCCGGCTCGTCTCTGAACGTCCCCGGCTCCTCTGAACGTCCCCGGCTCCTCTCTGAACGTCCCCGGCTCCTCTCTGAACGTCCCCGGCTCCTCTCTGAACGTCCCCGGCTCCTCTCTCAACGTCCCCGGCTCCTCTCTGAACGTCCCCGGCTCCTCTCTGAACGTCCCCGGCTCCTCTCTGAACGTCCCCGGCTCCTCTCTGAACGTTCCCGGCTCCTCTCTGAACGTCCCCGGCTCCTCTCTGAACGTCCCCGGCTCCCCTCTGAACGTCCCCGGCTCCTCTCTGAACGTCCCCCGGCTCGTCTCTGAACGTCCCCGGCTCCTCTCTGAACGTCCCCGGCTCCTCTCTGAAACGTTCCACACGCACCAGGAGCCGGCACCCGGCTCTCTCTCCAACACTGCCGCGTCAACACTCGGCCTTCGTTTGGCATTCACAGCGTTTGCTTATCTTGAATCAATGCTGCTGAAAGTATCCGCTCCCAGAGGGAAGGCCGAGCGGCCGATGGGTTGTTTTACATGTTATATACATGTTGTTTTACATGTTGTATACATGTTGTTTTACATGTATACATGTTGTTTTACATGTTGTATACATGTTGTTTTACATGTATACATGTTTTTTACATGTTATATACATGTTGTTTTACATGTATACATGTTGTATACATGTTGTTTTACATGTTGTATACATGTTGTTTTACATGTTGTATACATGTTGTTGTACATGTATGCATGTTGTTTTACATGTTATATACATGTTGTTTTACATGTTATATACATGTTGTTTTACATGTTGTATACATGTTGTTTTACCTGTTGTATACATGTTGTTTTACATGTATACATGTTGTATACATGTTGTTTTACATGTTATATACATGTTGTTTTACATGTTGTATACATGTTGTTTTACATGTTGTATACATGTTGTTGTACATGTATGCATGTTGTTTTACATGTTATATACATGTTGTTTTACATGTTATATACATGTTGTTTTACATGTATACGTGTTGTTTTACATGTTGTATACAGGTTGTTTTACATGTTATATACATGTTGTTTTACATGTTGTATACATGTTGTTTTACATGTATACATGTTGTTTTACATGTTGTATACATGTTGTTTTACATGTTATATACATGTTGTTTTACATGTTGTATACATGTTGTTTTACGTCGAGAGATGAATTACGTGAAGGGCGCGTCATGTGTCGACAACTTGTTTGATTCGAGTATTTATTTACCATTGTAGATCCGTTTACAATGGAAAACAACCCTTGGTTGCTGGAGTGGAGAGAATGTCAATGGCAGTAGAGTGAGATGAGAGGGGGGAGGTAGGAGAGTGCGTGGAGGGGAGTGGAGTGAGATGAGAGGTGAGAGGTAGGAGAGAGCGTGGAGGGGAGTGGAGTGAGATGAGAGGTGAGAGGTAGGAGAGAGCGTGGAGGGGAGTAGAGTGAGATGAGAGGTGAGAGGTAGGAGAGGGCGTGGAGGGGAGTAGAGTGAGATGAGAGGTAGGAGAGAGCGTGGAGGGGAGTAGAGTGAGATGAGAGGGGAGAGGTAGGAGAGTGCGTGGTGGGGAGCAGAGTGAGATGAGAGGAGAGAGTTAGGAGAGAGCGTGGAGGGGAGCAGAGTGAGATGAGAGGTGAGAGGTAGGAGAGAGCGTGGAGGGGAGTAGAGTGAGATGAGAGGTAGGAGAGAGCGTGGAGGGGAGTAGAGTGAGATGAGAGGTAGGAGAGTGCGTGGAGTAGAGTGAGATGAGAGGGGGAGGTAGGAGAGTGCGTGGCGGGGAGTAGAGTGAGATGAGAGGCAGTGGCGACGGATCTTTAAGAGGGTGAGTCAGTGCGATGTGGTGGCGTCAGTCAGTGAGAACGGTACCGATGCAGTGTTCTGTGGGGGTTCAACTGCAGGTGCAATGCATCCGATTCGGGGCTCAGATGTAAGACTATGGTCCCACACGCATATGATGCATAACAATCCGTTTTCACGCATTGTATATTTCGGAAGCATTGGTACACGAATTGAAACATTACAGTCATGCAGCGAAACCACAGTATTAATCGTAATATATATATGTATATATTTGAAAGACTGCATTATTGTGCAGTAATAAAGTGCTCTTGCCAATAGCATCTGCATGGCATCCCAGCAGGAATTGTGTAACAGGCTTCATCCGCAGAATGCATTATTAAAAAAAAGAATTGCTGCTGGATAATGATCATGTAAACGCGGAACGCAACAGCGCACAGGAGGAACCACAGACGAGCCAGTGCGACCAACAGTTGTCGAAGCTCTGCGGTCATCTACATATTAAGATGTTTCCTGCTAATGAATGAGTGGAGAAACCCCACACGTGCGACAGAAGCATCACTCTATCCCATACACGGGGAACAGATGGAGTCCACATTTGCTGTACTGACTTCTCTCGTAAAGTTTGCTAAGAATAAAGTTTACAAAGAAGCGTGGAAAGATGTACGCTCGGAATTACACGGAGTACACACGCAAGCAGGTAATGGACATCATTGTGACTATTAGCATAGTGAGAGGGTGGCAGCCAACGGATGGAACGTGCCGAGGAGGTGGAAAGAGAACATCAGCTCGTGTGTGCAGGTGTAAGGTGGATTGTCGGGTCTCATGATCATGAGAGATGGCGATGGCTTGGTCAGGCCTTCATCCAGCAGTGGATTGATCATGGTTGATGATGATGCGTGTGTGTGTTGTATTGTAGAGAGAGGCAGTGTAGTGGATAGCGCTCTGTGCACTACGAACCCGGCCGCCAAAGATTGATTTCCACTCACGGGACAAAACAGTGGCAAATATTTGAACCGGTTCCTGGCCTCCAGTAGGGTGAACTTAGCCTTAAACTTAGTACGTGATGTGGTGTGTAAACGTCAGGACTGGGGAGACAAAGGCGGCCGGGCATGGTGCCGCCCACCCACCTTATCGTGTGTTGTGCCGGCTTTCATCGGTACTCCTCGCAACAGCACTTGCCCCAAAAATCCGTTAAAGGCTATACGGGGGATCTTTGTGATAGTGTGTTGTAAAGATTGTGTGCATCAATGTATAAGTACCCACGCGAGCCTTCCACCTTCTGTAGGGGGATGGGGGGGATGCGAGCGTTGTTCTGCTGAGGCGTGGACAAACGGTGGCGTTCAAATGTCGCTGAAGGGTCCCCTGTCACTTGGCCCGCGAGCGTTCACGACAGCGGAAACACACAGATGGCAGCACACACTCACACACGGCAACACACACACACGGCAACACACACACACGGCAACACACACACACGGCAACACACACACGGCAACACACACACACACGGCAGCACACACACACAGCAACATACAAACACACGGCAACACACACACACGGCACACACACACGGCAACACACACACACAGCAACATACACACAGCAACACACACGGCGGCACGCTCTCGCGGGCACGCGGAACACAATGAAGCCCTAGGACCCACGACCTTCACTAATGAAGCCCTAGGACCCACGACCATCACTCTCCGCAAACTACGTCAGTCACGGGAAACTAAAAAATAAATTTTGATGGAAAAGAAAAAAAGGTTTGAGATTTGGTTGAGAATTGCGACGGCGAGAGGCCTTTTTGTAAAGTGTCCGTGACGTTCTCAGCACGTGGTTGACACCGAGAGGACCGCTTTGCGTGTCCTCGACACCATGGTTGGAGAGCCGTGGGATCGACCTCACCTCCTTACTGTGGCGGTGAACTTCAAGGTGGATCAGAATCAGAATATTAGTTTAGACAGGAGGAATCCGATGAGCTATGCAGCTCTTTTTCACTGTTGCCAAGTAGGGGCAGGTGAGAATGTTACAACAACAAACAACACAAGAACACGATTGGAGTGCAAAGCATAGGAAAGTGAACAAATCACTAAATACAAACTTTTAAAATCTTATTTTACTAGGTAAGGCTTCTTTTTTAGAAGCGACCTGGCCACAAATTATGGCTCAAAGTGGCTTATGTGGACATTTATAGCAGCCAAATAATCTAAAGGCATGTCTCTAAATGTGGAGGGTATTCCCGACGGACCTTTGAGATTGTTGTGTTCTCAATGTAGTCACAGTGGTGGAGCTCAAAGTCTGTTCTCGTGACTTCAAAGTCGTTGTGCAGCGAGGATGGTTTTCATACTGTAAATATGGTGGTGGACTTTATGCCTTTTTCCAATGTTTTGCAGATATTGGTGGACCTTATGGACAGTTTAAAAGTTATCAATGTAGTGGTTGACCTGTGGGATTTATCACATGTTGTCAATACAGTGCTGGACCTGTGGAATTGTTCTTATATTCCTGCTAGAGTGATGGACTTTTGGGATTCATCTCATATCTTAATACAGAAGTGGACCTGTAGTACTGACCTCATGTGGTCACGGACCTGTATAACCGTGCCCACGTTCTCAGTGGTGGACCTGTAGGACTGACCTCATGTTGCCAATACAGTAGTGAACCTGTGGGATTGATATGATATTCTCAATGCAGTGAAGGATCTGTAGGACTGACCCTACGTGGTCACAGACCTGTATAACCGTGCCCACGTTCTCAGTGGTGGACCTGTAAGACTGACCCTATATGGTCACGGACCTGTATAACCGTGCCCACGTTCTCAGTGGTGGACCTGTAGGACTGACCCTACGTGGTCACGGACCTGTATAACCGTGCCCACGTTCTCAGTGGTGGACCTGTAGGACTGACCCTACCTGGTCACGGACCTGTATAACCGTGCCCACGTTCTCAGTGGTGGACCTGTAGGACTGACGCTATGTGGTCACGGACCTGTATAACCGTGCCCACGTTCTCAGTGGTGGACCTGTAGGACTGACCCTATGTGGTCACGGACCTGTATAACCGTGCCCACGTTCTCAGTGGTGGACCTGTAGGACTGACCCTACCTGGTCACGGACCTGTATAACCGTGCCCACGTTCTCAGTGGTGGACCTGTAGGACTGACGCTATGTGGTCACGGACCTGTATAACCGTGCCCACGTCCTCAGTGGTGGACCTGTAGGACTGACCCTATGTGGTCACGGACCTGTATAACCGTGCCCACGTTCTCAGTGGTGGACCTGCTGTCGACCGGCGAGGGCCAGGCCGCTCGCGTCGCAGGGGCGCTCGCCGACATCCGCTCTCGCGACGTCGTGAACTTCGCGACCGTGTTCCGCCTCTCCCCGCACGCCGGGGGCTCGCTCGTCGGGATCTACTCGCGAGCCAATGGGACCAAGCACCTGGAGGTTATCCTGGCCGGCAGGGTCAACAAAGGTGAGAAGTGTGGAGCTCAATTGATCGGTGATTCAGTGGGATGCATTCGACGAGAAGATTGTCCGTTAATATTTTTTTTTCTCGGAGATTTCAAAATATTGCATATCTCTTGCTGCCGGGGCGTAATGGTTAGCACACTCAACGTGCAATCCAGTTCGATTCCATCTCCTGGCGCAGCAGTTTGAATAATTGGCTAATGTCTTGAAATAAAACCTGCCATCTGTCTACCGAGGTGTATAAATCTATCCACCGCAATTAGTCAATCTGCAGGTCACCTGCTGTGGGTTAAAGCGTGGGTACTCCCACCACTGCCAAGACATCTGACCAGCGTGGAAGAGTAGACCAAAACAGCAGTGGCGTGAGCAAGAAATATCAAAGCTGCGCTTTTACCATTTTTATCCGATCAAAAAAGGAGAGGCTTTCCACTTTCTGGCAATAGGAGTGCCACGGTGGCGAGACGTTAACTACCTCACCTGGTGTGCAGGAGGTTGTGGGTTCGATCCCAACCCTGACGCCTGCTGTATATTTGGAGTTTGCATGTTCTCCCCGTGGTCGCGTGGATTTTTCTCAGGGTCCTCTGGTTTTCCCCTCCACGTTTAGACACATACGTTTAGAGTATTTGGCTGCTTTAAATTTCCACGCGATAAGCCACTTCGTTGAGTTATTATTTGTAACCAGTCGCTTATGAAAAAAAAGCTGCATAGCATAAAAATGAAATAGTTTAGCTTTTAATAATTTTGATACTGGCAAAAAAGGGTATTTTTTTAGCCGTTCAAAAAATTAAATATTGGTGGTGTCTGGACAACCACGACAGCTGCAGTGGCTGCGGTCCCGTAGCAGACACTGCACGAGGCGGCGAGATTGATGGTTAGAATAACATCGCGGTATCAATTTAAAAGTCCGTCGTAAAAAATTGACACGTACCGTGCGGCATAGCCTGCTTCTATAAAAAAAACCACAGCCTCTTTTTTTGGTGTGCAAGGCAAAAAAAGGTAACATTCACGTAGTGGGAATAGTGCAGCAGCTGTATTGACCTTGAATAAGCCGCCTTCCATAAACTTTTATAAATCAGTTTCCAACATTTATGGCTACGCGAGTCGAATTATGATGAGGTGCCCCTGTGAGTTAATGAATCAGCCCGTTCCGGCATGAATCCACTTGGACCGAGAACATGGAACTTGGAACATTGGAAGGACATCGCTTTGAAAGACGACTAGGTGCTTTGAAAATAAAAACTAAACAAAATCCTACAATACCAAGTCGTGACCAGGCTCGTACCTGCTTGGCTTCTGAGATCCGACGACTGTGTTGTTACTTAATATGGACAATGACGCTGAATTAATATTCTGCGTCATGCATTATTTCGACTTGAATCGAAAGCTTGTTCTTGCCCTATGATTTATACAACTGGCAGTATGCAGTATTGGTTCTCATCAGCAAGCTTGACTCTACGGATGTGGTAATGCGTGTCAAAGCCGGTTCAGAGTTTGATTTGCTTATATTGGAACCAACGCTCCTGAAATGATGCACTCTCAGAAGGCCGTGTGCCTGATGGGATGTGTATAAATCACGCATGTACAGTAATACCCCGATTTACGGCTCCCCCTTTTACGTCGTTTCACAAATACGTCGTCACTTTATTAACACCGCTATCTGATTTGGGTGGCCTCAACCCCAAGTTTACGTCGCTGACAGCACCATCCATCGTTTCTCGTATCCGTCGCTTCTTAGCCTTTGCCTCCACCTAACCCTCCAAACTGCTTTGATCACGTTGTTTCGATTTCGTCGTTGTACCTTTCAGGAATGCATCCCCTACGTTAACTGAGGTTTTGCTGTGGATATATTTGTATTACGTGAAAGGGCTAGTCACGTGTTGGTGGCGTGCTGCTCGCTCGTTAACGTTGTTAGGGTGCTCCAGTGGTGAGATGTTAACTACTTCGCCTGGTATATAGGAAGTCGTGGGTTTCGATACCGACCCAGACGTCTGCTGTATATTTGGATGTTCTCCCCGTGGTCGCGTGTATTTTTCTCCGGGTCCTCTGGTTTCTCCGTCCACATTTCGAAAGATTCGCTTTCAGACTTTGGCTGCTATAAATTTCCACGTGATAAGCCACTTTGTTGACCGATCAATTGTGGCCAGGTCGCTTCTGATAAAGAGCTACATAACTTAAGCGCGTATCATCGGGCGCAATGCGGGAGACTCGTGGCCCGCATCTCTCCCCCAATTCTCCCGCAGCGGCCGTGCGCTACCTCAAGGCCGACGGGACGCCTCACCTCGTCACCCTGGACCGCGTGGCGGTGGCCGACGGCAAGCGGCACTCGCTGCTCGTGCGCCTCGAGGGCCTGCAGGGCGGCCACGCCACCGTGAGCCTCTTCGTCGACTGCCGCCTCGTCGACTCGGCCGTGGGGTTGCCTCCGATCCTGCGCTCGCTGCCCGGCGACGCGAGTCGGCTGACCATCCGCACGGGGCAGCTCTCGGCCTTTCGCGTGCAGGTCAGGGGGGTGGGTCAGGGAAGGGCAGGTCAGGGTGGTGTGGGTCATGGCAGGTCAGGGGGGTGGGTCAGGGAAGGGCAGGTCAGGGTGGTGTGGGTCATGGCAGGTCAGGGCAGGCAGGGCAGCGTGGGTCAGGGTGGTGTGGGTCATGGCAGGTCAGGGCGGGCAGGGAAGGGCAGGTCAGGGTGGTGTGGGTCATGGCAGGTCAGGGCGGGCAGGGCAGCGTGGGTCAGGGTGGTGTGGGTCATGGCAGGTCAGGGCGGGCAGGGCAGCGTGGGTCAGGGTGGTGTGGGTCATGGCAGGTCAGGGCGGGCAGGGCAGCGTGGGTCAGGGTGGTGTGGGTCATGGCAGGTCAGGGCGGGCAGGGAAGGGCAGGTCAGGGTGGTGTGGGTCATGGCAGGTCAGGGCGGGCAGGGCAGCGTGGGTCAGGGTGGTGTGGGCCATGGCAGGTCAGGGCGGGCAGGGCAGCGTGGGTCAGGGTGGTGTGGGTCATGGCAGGTCAGGGCGGGCAGGGCAGCGTGGGTCAGGGTGGTGCGGGTCAGGTCAGGTCAGGTAAGGGTTGATTGATATCACTTAAAGATTTTTCTGGGACGCTGGTAGTCTGGAGTGGGTGGCATGTGATTGGCAGCCACCATCATAGCGAAAGGTATATGTGATGTGCCGGGTACGGTAATATTTATTGTACCATTGACCCGGAAAGGTAGATGTACAAGGTAAAAGGTGCAGCCCTGCAATTTCTTGTTCAGGCCACTGCTGGCAGAAGGGCCTCGACTAGAGGGAGCTCTCGAGAGCCCATATAGAGGGTGTGTGGCCGAATCTTTCCCACCGGAGTGACATATATAGCCCACCATGGCGTGGCCTGCCGATCTACCAACGGTGGTGTACCGATTCACTGCCTGCTCGTGGGCTGACAAAAGGCGGGGGGCGATTGAAGAAGCTCGCCGCGTCGTTTCACTCGTCGCACCGGGAGGTTGGATCGAACCGGCGATCTCTGCCAATCTAAGTCCGGGTGTGCTGGTGACCATTTCTACCGCGGACAGAACCGGCTGAAATGTAAGCCCTGGGCTACGGGTCGAGCGTCCGCAGCGAGGTCGCAGAACGTGTGGACACGAGGGGATGCGTCCAGCCGTCTCGCGCGCTCCCTGCTTTGCTCCAGACTCCACCGCCCACACCCAAAGTGCAATGCGAAGAGTCAGCCCGGTTATCTTATCGTAATGTATAAAAACAAGCAGGCACGACGCAATTCCCGTCTGCTGTGGTGCATTCCTCGACAATGCGTGCCTTGTAGAATGACAGCATCCTCCCTTCCATCCCCCTCCCCGCCAGGTCCAATGACATCATTCTCCATCCTTAGTTGACATCCATGGTTTGAGAGACACTTGGTCTACAGATGTGGCCTATTTAAAGTTCCGTGGCGGGTATCTATGGCAGTTGGTGATCTACCCTATATGCAGAGATCTACGGCCTTTAGAGTAAACGTCACGTATTTTACAAACCTCGCGCGATCGCCTTAAGACACAATCACTCGGAACGTGCCGGGTCTCATCAGAGCTCAGAAGCTAAGCGGGGTTGAGCCTGGATAACATTTGGATGTGTGAGGACCACCGCACTGGCGTGGGGAGGCCCTCATCCAGCAGTGGATTGACACGACTGCTGTACGTGTTGCATGTACATGGTCATTACCAAAATGTATTTAAATTTCGATTTGAAGCTTTCGTGACTGCAAGGATTCATCTTCTTTGGTTCTTTCGGTAAAGTCACGTAGAATGAGAATAAAATAATAAAATAACACAATAAAATTCTCACGATGTTTCGGCCACAACGCAAGTGAAGACGGCCGCTTACGTTGTGGCCGAAACGTCGTGAGAATTTTATTGTGTTATTTTATTATTCTATTCTCATTCTACGTGACTTCATCGAAAGAACCAAAGAAGATGTATTTAAATTGTCTGGTGATGCTTCTGCTGCTGCTGCGTTGGCAGTTGTGCACAAGCAGAACGAACAAACACATCTCAACACATACGTGTTGGCCCATACATATAGACCACATGGGAGTCCGCTTCGTCCGTGCACCTGCACTGTCTTCTCCTGGCAAGCCGGGGGCACGGCTCCTCCTCGACGCCCACGGGAAGGGAGTTTCACAACATCTGGGTGTGATCCACCAACCCCCGCTGCTGCTTCTGCCTCCACAGTGCTGCTGGCTGTGGAGGCAGCAGCATCCACGCGCTGTACGTGTGAGACTGTACGTGTGAGACTGTACGTGAGGCTGTACGTGTGCACGCTGAGGCTGTACGTGTGAGACTGTACGTGTGCACGCTGAGGCTGTACGTGTGCACGTTGAGGCTGTACGTGTGAGACTGTACGTGTGAGACTGTACGTGTGCACGCTGAGGCTGTACGTGTGCACGTTGAGGCTGTACGTGTGCACGTTGAGGCTGTACGTGTGTACGTTGAGGCTGTAAGTGTGCACTCTGAGGTCACGAAGTCAGTCACCGGCCACTGCGGGAGGCTTGGCGGACGTCGGTGACATTGGCTGCGTATCGGCGGTGCGGTGAAGCTTTGGACGTGCGACCGATGCTTTCAGCAAACCGTGCATGGCTCCGCGCGTGTTCCCGTGTCGTGGCGCGCCACAGCGGAGCAAAGTGACGCGCTCGCAGACGCCGCGGCAGCGCTGCGAACGCACTCGTTGCCCGGACTTTAAAAAAAATATAACGACGCGTCAATTTAGTTCGAAGGCCGCCAGACAGAGGTCGCCCAATCAGGGGCCGTGCGTGGGTTTGCGTCTTCAAGGGACGCTCATCTCGCAGCGGCTTCGAGCTCCGGGCGTGCCAGGCCCCGCGCGGCCACCACTCAGTCGCCCCCCCCCCCCCACCCCGGGCCCAAGCGCCGCTAATCCCGGGGCGCGGCATCTCTCAAGCGCGCGCCGCAACAACGGCAACAGAAGTCGTCTGTTGCCGTTGTGTAAGTGCAGCCCGTGTGTAAGTGCAGCTCGTGTGCACGTGAGAAAGAGCTCTATAGCTTCGTGGGCCTTACTTGGATGTGCGCCGTAACCGAACAGGGGGTGTGGAATGAGATGAGAGGATAGAAGCAACGTGAGAGCAAGACCACGTTTGCGTCTTAGAGACCGGTGTGCAATTTCGATTTAATGTTCATAGCCAGAAGCAACATTCCAGAGTACATTTTTCTTATTTGGATTCAACGGGAAATATTGAGTGTCAAATGTCGATAGAATCCCCATACGATGGTGACATTTCTGTCCAGCGTTTGTTTAGTCTCTGCGCTCTCTTCCACCACCACCTCAATCACAACTCTCACCCGCTATACTCACCTCCTACACTCACCACCAACCATCACGAATACCACCCACCATTGTAACTACCCACCATTGTAACTACCCAACATTGTAACTACCCACCATTGTAACTACCCAACATTGTAACCATCCAACATTGTAACTACCCAACATTGTAACTACCCACCATTGTAAACACCCACCATTGTAACCACCCACCATTGTAACTATCCAACATTGTAACTACCCACCATTGTAACTACCCACCATTGTAACCACCCACCATTGTAACTACCCAACATTGTAACTACCCACCATTGTAACTACCCACCATTGTAACTACCCACCATTGTAACCACCCACCATTGTAACTACCCAACATTGTAACCACCCAACATTGTAACCATCCAACATTGTAACCACCCAACATTGTAACTACCCAACATTGTAACTACCCACCATTGTAACTATCCAACATTGTAACTACCCACCATTGTAACTACCCACCATTGTAACTATCCAACATTGTAACTACCCACCATTGTGACCACCCACCATTGTAAACCACCCACCATTGTAACTACCAACCATTGTAACTACCCAACATTGTAACTACCCACCATTGTAACTACCCACTATCGTAACTACCCACCATTGTAACTACCCACCATTGTAACTACCCACCATTGTAACTACCCACCATTGTAACCACCCACCATTGTAACCACCCACCATCATTTACCACCACCACCACTACTACTACTCATCATCCACTAATCATCGCCACAACCATCACCCATTGCCACCCACTCGCATCGCCCACCACCAACTCAACTTGAAGCACAACCACGAACATCTACAAAACTTTACCACCCTCATCACCCCCACCACCCTCTACCAAAAAATACAAAGATCCCCCGTATAGCCTTTAACAAACTCTTGGGGCAAGTGCTGTTAGCGAGCGGCACCTATGAAGACCGGAACGGTACACGAGGGGGTGGGTGGACAGCACCACACCGGCCGTCTTTGTCTCCCCAGAGCTGATGTATACACACCGTGCCGAGTACTGAGTTTGAAAACTGACTTCTTTAGAGCAGCGTTTTGTGTTCAGTTTGTTGTCCTTCCCCCGCACCTCCGGTTAGCACGGTTGGCTACGTATGGTGTGAAAGAAGTTCAACGTGCATACTCATTGAAGGCTTAGTCAGCATAGGGACTGGAACCGGTTCCGATAATCGCCACTTATGTTGGCCGTGAGCGGGAACTCGGGTTGCCGGCGCCGTAACACAGCACGCTAACCTCGACGCGATCACTGCCTGGCAGGGCTCTCTGCAGGAGATGAAGCTGGTCCTGGGAGGGTCCCTCGCAACTGTTGCCAGTATGCAAGGTTGCTCGCATCAGGCAGATGACAACACACTGCTCAACACAGGTGGGACATTACAACTGTTGATCACCTTCTATCACCATCATCCCCATGACGTCCAGAAATGTGACGGTCAATTTGTCTCTGGCGCAAGAGTCGGTCTCGTCGCTCCATCCCCGTGGTGGCCGTCCTCTCGAGGACTCTCTCTGGTTGCCGTTCCGTCACCAGCCTAGTGCGGTGACCCTCGTGCCTGTATGTACATATGAATGTTGAACTTCTTTCGCACCGTGCGTAGCCAGCCGTCAAAATCGGAGGTCCCTGCTCCAGCAAAACTCAGCGCATCACCGACAGTGCTCGCGCCGCGCGGTGGGCTGTCCTAGCCCTCTTACTAACAGCCACACGTGATGTCTCCCATGTGCACTCTCCCTAACAGCCACACGTGATGTCTCCGATGTGCACTCTTCCTAACAGCCACACGTGATGTCTCCCATGTGCACTCTCCCTAACAGCCACACGTGATGTCTCCGATGTGCACTCTTCCTAACAGCCACACGTGATGTCTCCCATGTGCACTCTTCCTAACAGCCACACGTGATGTCTCCCATGTGCACTCTCCCTAACAGCCACACGTGATGTCTCCCATGTGCACTCTCCCTAACAGCCACACGTGATGTCTCCCATGTGCACTCTCCCTAACAGCCACACGTGATGTCTCCCATGTGCACTCTCCCTAACAGCCACACGTGATGTCTCCCATGTGCACTCTCCCTAACAGCCACACGTGATGTCTCCCATGTGCACTCTTCCTAACAGCCACACGTGATGTCTCCCATGTGCACTCTCCCTAACAGCCACACGTGATGTCTCCCATGTGCACTCTTCCTAACAGCCACACATGATGTCTCCCATGTGCACTCATCCCAACAGCTACACGTGATGTCTCCCATGTGCACTCTCCCTAACAGCCACACGTGATGTCTCCCATGTGCACTCTTCCTAACAGCCACACGTGATGTCTCCCATGTGCACTCTTCCTAACAGCCACACGTGATGTCTCCCATGTGCACTCTCCCTAACAGCCACACGTGATGTCTCCCATGTGCACTTGGTCACCCGTACGGACGTGCGCCCCTCTCTCTGGCTCCCGGTTTTAATTCCGAGCGAGCGTTTTGCCAGCGTGCTACTTTATACCCGCGTTACGTTTTATTTCGTGACATTTTAACTGTCAGCGCCGATGGTTCTGATCCGTACGCCACAGCTAGCAATGCGCGCTCATTGAGAACTTGCTATCCGTGGGGACCACGGTTCGCTGCGTCTCATTGCCCAGTTCGGTTTATCAAAACGCGTACCCACCCTGCTCCCCTTCGGCTCTATTTGATAACCTTCGATTATAATGTTACTGTGTATGTGCGCGCGTGTGGTTGTTTGCTCGGCTCTCATAGCCTCACCTGGCCAGGTGGCTCAGCGGCAGTGCAAACGGCTCGCAATTGGAAATGTTGCGAGTTCAACTCCCTCTGGGGTGGATGACTTGGCCCATCATCCCTCTGGGGCCGTTATAATAATCACCGCGTTGTAGTAAAGTCAACAGCGGTTGTTTTATGAGTTGCCTCGCCTCGCCCAAACCCCGTCATAGTAACGTGGAATTTCCACCACCGGCTCAGGGCTGTCTAGAGGAGATGAGCACCATTGCCTCTATGCTCATTTGAGCGGGAATCACTCTTGACTTTTCCACCGAAGACCCTAATGACATAATGGTCATCGTAGTGTTGACTTTCACAATGCGATATTAAAGAGTAGAGTTGATCCTTGAATGCAACACGATGTTATATTTAACCCGTCTTATACGTTGACGTTTTCTTTGTTTTCACAGTGTCATCAAATTCACGGACCTTAGGTGAGAAACAAATGTAAAATCTAATTTAAAAATTCCCTGTCACCACCGCTTCTTCCTCTCCTAGGCCAGAAGCCCCAATGTAGCGTGCGGTCGGCTGGTCCGAGTTTAGATGTCCGTGGGTTTTCTATTCTGTCTCTTCTCTATTGGCATCCACTGTCTTCTTACATCGAGACCCATGCACGTGCATGATCCGCAGACTTACAGAGATAATCAGAGACGTACACAGAGACTCACAGACTTGCATAAAGAAACAAAGAACGTGCATCTTCTTCTTCTAAGACATTGTTGCTTGGGGGTAGCTGCTCGGATGTTCTCTCTCCACCTGCTCCTCCGCCTCTTCTCTACTCACATCCACTCCGCTCATATCTCGTTCCACCGCATCCTCTTCACATCTCACATCATCACTTGTTCCGACAAGAATATTTACTAAATGCGAGCGTGTCATCCAACTGTCAAGGATCAAATGGTACGAGTCTGATTTTTTTCCAGCGGGCCAATCTATCGCACGCTCCGGAACTGAACGCAGTGGCGTTACCTCGGTGTATTTGTTTTGCATGATCCCCCAGGCTCGTGAGTGCCATTGCCGGTGTGCCGCGCTCTGTTCAAGCCGTGATTCTATCGGCGATGCGGGACCCGTTCCCTGCTTTTGCGAGCCGCGCAATGAAGTGACAACTGATGGACGTTGGCGCTGGCTGGGCCGGCTCGGCAGTTGAGGTTCTCTGTCCTCCGTCGCTCTCTTGCAGACGACCAGAGCGCCCGACTGCTGATCAATGAGATGGCGAAGCTCACACAAGTCTTGCGGGAGCTGCGTGAAAACGTCCAGCAGCAGGCACGCACCCCGCCTCGCACGCACCCAGCCACGCACCCCGCCTCGCACGCACCCAGCCACGCACCCCGCCTCGCACGCACCCAGCCACGCACCCAGCCACGCACCCCGCCATGCACCCCACCACGTGTTCACCCACGAACCCCGCCACACACCCCACCACGTGTTCACACCCCACCACGTGTTCACCCACGCACCCCACCACACACCCCACCACGTGTTCACCCACGAACGCCGCCACACACCCCACCACGTGTTCACCCACGCACCCCGCCACACACCCCACCACGTGTTCACCCACGCACCCCGCCACACACCCCACCACGTGTTCACCCACGCACTCCGCCACACACCCCACCACGTGTTCACCCACGAACCCCGCCACACACCCCACCACGTGTTCACCCACGAACCCCGCCACACACCCCACCACGTGTTCACCCACAAACCCCGCCACACACCCCACCACGTGTTCACCCACGCACCCCGCCACACACCCCACCACGTGTTCACCCACGCACCCCGCCACAGACCCCACCACGTGTTCACCCACGCACCCCGCCACACACCCCACCACGTGTTCACCCACGAACCCCGCCACACACCCCACCACGTGTTCACCCACGAACCCCGCCACACACCCCACCACGTGTTCACCCACGAACCCCGCCACACACCCCACCACGTGTTCACCCACGCACCCCGCCACACACCCCACCACGTGTTCACCTACGCACCCCGCCACGCATGCCACAATTCCCCGGCCGCCCTCCTGTAACAGAATGGCTGCTTTCTATTGATGCAATATCCATATCATAGGGATAAAAGTGCAGCTCCGACAATGCTCGCTCACACCACTGCTGGCGGAAGGCCTCCGAAAGAGCGAACGCTCGATGTTATTTGGTCTACTCCTCCACGTGGACTGAAGGTGTTGGAAGAGACGGATCTACCCACGCTTTACCCCACCAAATCGGTGAACTGTGAAGAATCCATTTAACTCTTGTGGGTAGACAGAGGAGGCGACGGGGGGTTTATGAAACTGGCCCCCATTGTTTCAACTGCCGCGCCTGGAGATGGAATCGAACCGGCGACGTCTGGATTGCAAGTCCTGTGTGCAGCTCACCAATCCACTGCTGTCGCAGTAACCCCATTCATAGTAGTGTAATGACAGGGTGACACCTGCCGGCCTGTACGGGTCATTACGGTTATGGCTGCATTACATAATGCCTTATTAAAAGGGGTCCGTATCTGGGATATAGGTGAAGGGCGGAGTCAGTCGAGAAGCTCCGGGAACCATCCCGAAGGGTCTAGAAGGTTCTGGAAAGGGAGCGTGGCCAGAGGTGGAGCTTGGCCACGCCAGGCAGATATCAGGAGCCCCGAACGAGGTTCGGAGCTGTCGCGTGGGGTCTGGGTCCTGGCTGCGTCGCTGCTCGTCGTCGTCTCTTCGTCTTCGACCACGTGGCTGTTCTTCTGCAAGAGCAGCTCCATCGACGCCGCTGCGCTCGTCAACCAGAAGCCTTCTACTCGACGTGTGTCGGAAGTCGCTCACTGCAGTCGTAAGACATCTCCTAGCGCCACTGCTGAGCGGTACAACGTCAATACGCCCATCACCAATGACCATACTTCACCACGCTGGTCATTGGAGGTTGCTGAATCCGCAGAGCATTGTATATGAGGACATAGAAGCACAGAAAGACAAAGCAAGTTACTTTGAATTATACAATAGCTTAGGTGCACTGTGGTGCAGTGGTTAGTGCACTGGACTTGTAGTCTAGAGATCGATGGTTAGATTCAATTTCCTGGCGTGGCATTTGAAACAATGAGGCAAGTTTCTCAAAATCACTCCGTGCATCTCTGTCCACCCAGGAATATAAATACTCATCGATTTGGAGGTTGTAGTGGTAGAGTAATGTGTGGGGAATCCCACGAGTTCCAGGATAGATGTCTGTTCAGTATGGAAGAGTAGGCCAAATATCCACTAAAGTGAAAGCCCCTTCCGTCAGTAGTGGCGTGAGCGAGAAATCTCAGAGCTGCGCCTTTATCTTTAGCCGTCACCGAAGCGCATCAAGTTGAACTGACGGCTCTACGTGCACACGAAGGCGGTCCCTACTCGGGAGAAAGGAATCCCATTACATTGAGGCAACACATTTGGTTCGGGTCGGCAGCGGGGAGCTGCAGTCTTTGTCACTTGGCTCAATGCGAGTAAACGTTTATAATGGACAGACAGACGGAGGGAGGTGATGGATGGATTGAAAGCCGGCGCTGAATATGCTCGGAATGCCTCTCTTTGTGTTGTTGTTTTTTGTTGTTTTTGTCGTCGTATTTAATAACGTGCCGCTTTTATTCATCTCTCTCTCTCTCCCCACCTTCTCCGTGCAGATAACAGAAATGGCTCTGCTAAAAAATGTGATCCAAGGGTGCAGAGCGTGCGGTGAGGTTTAAACGGCTCCCTGTGATCCTCACGCTCGCTCGCAGCCCGGCAAACGTCGTCGGCATCGCCCCCTTGTCATTCCTTTCCCTCTCTCGTCACCTTTATCCCATGTGTGCTATCGCAGGGGTCGTAGTACAAGGTGACAACAGAATGCCCTTCTGTCCGTCATCTCTCTGCTTAAAATTTGTATTTTATTTTAGTCCATCGTGTATATATGTTAAACTTCTTTCGCACCGTACGCAGCTAACCGTGCTAATCGTAGGTGTGGGTGAAGGACTGCAAACTAAACACAAACACAGTTCGAAAAAATGAGTTTTCAATCGAAATGTAAAAGTGCATAGCTTCATTAGCTTCTTAATATCGGAAGGAAGAGCGTTCCAGACGGCCGGATGGGAGTAAAACAGTCCCTAGGGTAGGGCGAATCGGGGCGACTGGCCCAGGCCCCGCGCTTTCAGGGGACCCGCGCATTAACGTCACGGTGTCAGATGGCTGCGAGGGGTCCCACAAGCTGTGATTTGCCACGGGCCCCGCACCCCCGATGGACGGCCCTGCATGGGAGCGTCGGTGTGAGCCATGACGATGACGACGATCGGTGATTGATGAGAATGCGTGGCCGACCGGATGGCCCCGCTCATGTCGCAGACGCTGGGGTTGACTCGGGGAGGCTGCGGTGCGACAGGCAGCCGTGTTCCCGCGGCGTCGCGTGCACCGACACGGAGCACGGATTCCGCTGCGGGCCCTGCCCGGACGGCCTCACCGGGGACGGAGTGCGGTGCACCGATGTGGACGAGGTCACTACCCTCCCACCCAATTACCCCCCACACACCCACCCCCTACCCACCCACCCTACCCCCCCCCCCTACCCACCACACCCCACATCCACCACCTCCCACACCCACCACCTCCCCCACCCACCACACCCACCACCTCCCCCACCCACCCAACCACCCCCCCACCCAACCACCACACCCACCACAACCCCCACCCAACCACCCCCCCACCCAACCAGCCCCCCCACCCAACCACCCCCCCCACCCAACCACTCCCCCCACCCACCACACCCCACACCCACCACACCCCACACCCACCACACACCCCACACCCACCACCCCCCTACCCTCCACCCCACACCCAACTACCACCCCCACCCACCACACCCCACACCAACCACACCCTCCACCCAACCACCCCCCCACTCTACCCCCCACCCACCACACCCCCCACCCAACCACCCCCCCACCCACCACACCCCCCACACCCACCACACACCCTACACCCACCGCCCCCCCTACCCTCCACCCCACACCCAACCACCACCCCCCACAACCACCAAACCCCCTACCCACCACCTCCCCTACCCCCCATCACACACCACGCCCCCACCCACAACCCGCCCCCACCCAACCCCAGCACCAACCCACCCACTAATCAATCTATCCACCCACCCGACGACCCGCACACCCAACCACCCACCCACTAATCAATCCAACCACCCACCTGCTCATCAATCTAACCACCCACCCGCCAAATTACCCTACCAACCCAACCCACCGTGAATTGATGTCCGCTGCTAAAAGCCCACGTGAACGACACCGCGCTGACTCTAATCTGCAGTGCGCGGGGGCCAAGCCCTGCTTCGTGGGGGTGGAGTGCTCGAACGCGTTCCCGGGCTACGAGTGTGGGCCCTGTCCCGCGGGCTACACGGGCACAGCCACCTCGGGGCTCGGCCTAGCCCAGGCGAATGCCCGGCCCCAGGTGAGCTGACGCGAGCGAGCGAGCGAGTGAGCGAGCGAGCGAGCTTGCTGTCAGCCGCTCGTGATTAAATCGAGTAGAATCAATCGATGTTTTCATGCTAGACATCATTGACTCTGCGCATAAAAAAGATCGCATTAAGATAGTTTTTTTTGTCAAGTTAATTAGGTTCATTAAATTAGAAATTAATAGAGTATTGATTGACATGCAATAAACACTCTCAGCTGGGCACATGAAAGGTTTTAACCTCATGTGGATAAAGTGGCCAAGTGGAGCAAGCACGTGGGAGCGTGTGGGCGGCAGCCTGGAGCAGTGGCGACACGCGCCCCTCGCAGCAACGCGCGCCTCGGTTCGATTCCCGACTCGGGCGTCTTTATGTGTGTGGCGTTTTTGTGTTCTCCCATTGTTTTTTAGAGAATGAGTGGAGTCTGTATTTTTGACTTTAAACTTTCCTGACTGCAGGAATTCATATTCTTGGTTCTTTTTGGTAAAGTCACGTAGATGAAGGCCGCTTATGTTATAAACGTCGTTATATATTATTTTTCGATTTAAAGCTTTCGTGACTGCAAGGATTCATCTTCTTGGTTCTTTCGGTAAAGTCACGTAGAATGAGAATAAAACAATAAAACAAAAATAAGACAATAAAATTCTCACGACGTTTCGGCCACAACACAAGTAGCCTTCTTCAGGTGAAGAGACAGGTCTGTACGGAAGACAGAGCTCGAATGGACGCCGTCATGTATGGACAGCGTTTATTAAGCTGTGTGGGCGGAGTTAAAACATGAGTCTGTACGTTACCAGCATCACCTCCGGAGAGGGGGAGGGAGGGGGGGCTGGGGACACAGGCAGAGGGGAAGAAAAAGACTAAAGAAAAAGTGAGCAGGTATAGCAAGGTACGATGTTGTGTCCTGAGCAGCTTCATGACCATGCTATAAACTGGACTTCTATACAGTACAATATTAAATCTTCAAATCTAAACTACATGGTATAACATCATATCATAGACAAATTCCACCTTTGAATTATACAATGCGTTACTTTACACTACCCTATACTTTAGATTATAAACTATTTGACTTGTGATATTACACTGTGTCTTATTATATGAACCCAACTATATACCACACTGCTGTATATTCACTATGCAATTACGATGCTATATATCTACTCACCTGATATCGACAATCAAGGGCATTTCCCTGTCCGGAGACGACCTGCTTGTCAGTTTTGATGTGGTGTCCTTATTCACCAAAGTTCCGGTACCTGACACCATCGCAATCATTAAAGACCTGGTTCATCAAGGACTGCATACTGATGTACCCCCTCTGGTGAGACATTGCTTAACCAACACATACTTCACCTGGAATGGAACTTTCTACAAACAGACTGATGACATCCCAATGGACTCCCCCATATCTCCAGTTGTAGTCAACGTGTTCATGGAAAATTTTGAAACTGACGCCATCCAGACTGCCACTCTACGCCCGACCTTATGGAAGAGGTATGTAGATGACACCTTTGTTATCTGGCCACATGGACTACCTGCTCTAGACCAATTCCTCGACCACATCAACTCCATACACCCAGCCATCAGATTTATCATGGAGGTCGAAAAAGAAGGCAAGCTACCCTTTTTGGATGTCTTAATTAAAAGGAGACCTGATGGTTCAATGAGCCACTCGGTCTACAGGAAAGCGACCCATACGGATGCTTACTTAAAACCGGATTCCCACCACCATCTATCCCAGAAGAACTTCCTCATCAAGACTCTGCACCAAAGAGCCCAATGCATTTCCGACCAGGATCACATTGCCAGTGAATTCAAACACGTACACCAAGCTCTCAAGGCTAATGGTTACTCCGACTACACAATCCGCAAAGCCATCACTCCAGTCATGAAGAAGGATCCCCTTGTGGAGCCATTCAAAACCATCATCACCTTACCCTACATTGCGGGGGTCACAAAAAAGATCTCCAAAATCCTGAACAAACACAAGATCCAGGTCCGATTCAACACAGTACATAAAATCCGTGATCTGGTTCCATCTGTAAAAGATACTGTTCCAGACATACAGTGCCCGGGCGTTTACAAACTAAAGTGCCTCTGTGGTAGCAGCTACATTGGAGAAACCAAACGACATATCTCGGACCGCATCCGCGAACATAAAGCAGACTTGAAACACGGTAGGACTAACACCTCTGCCGTGGCAGATCACTGTTATAATTCAGTGGGCTCACATGACATTGACTTCGCCAAGACGGAGTTCTTTGCAAGCCAACCGGCTACCATGAGAGATTCGTTCATGAGGCAATCCACATATACAAGCACAGAGACAATTTCAACCGAGGAGATAGATTCTGGCTTAGTAACCATTGGAAAGATGTTTTAAACCATTCCGGTTCTTAATTGATTGTATTTCACGGTGACTTTCAGACCACAGCCCTTTCGCTGACACTGCCTCTTAATACTTCTCACACCACGGTCAATAGTATGGTTTATAACATGTAGTATAATAATTAATAGTATAACATTATAATATTTAACAGAACTCATAAGGCAATATATAGCATCGTAATTGCATAGTGAATATACAGCAGTGTGGTATATAGTTGGGTTCATATAATAAGACAGTGTAATATCACAAGTCAAATAGTTTATAATCTAAAGTATAGGGTAGTGTAAAGTAACGCATTGTATAATTCAAAGGTGGAATTTGTCTATGATATGATGTTATACCATGTAGTTTAGATTTGAAGATTTAATATTGTACTGTATAGAAGTCCAGTTTATAGCATAGTCATGAAGCTGCTCAGGACACAACATCGTACCTTGCTATACCTGCTCACTTTTTCTTTAGTCTTTTTCTTCCTCTCTGCCTGTGTTCCCCCCCCCCTCTCCCCCTCTCTGAAGTTTGATCGGGCTCTTGTTCTGACTCCGCCCACCCTGCTTGATAGACGCGTTCTTTGCATTCCTCTCTGCCTGTGTTCCCCCTCCCTCCCCCTCTCTGGAGGTAATGCTTGTAACGTACAGACTCATGTTTTAACTCCGCCCACACAGCTTAATAAACGCTGTCCATACATGACGGCGTCCATTCGAGCTCTGTCTTCCGTACAGACCTGTCTCTTCACCTGAAGAGTGCCACTTGTGTTGTGGCCGAAACGTCGTGATAATTTTATCGTCTTTTTTATTCTCATTCTACGTGACTTTACCGAAAGAACCAAGAATATATATTATATTTTGTTATCTTATATTTTCTATCTACGTGACTTTATCGAAAGAACCAAGAACATGGAATCTGTATGTTCTCCCCTTGTTCTGCAGACAGTGAATGTGTCTGAGTGAGTGTGAGTGAGTGGAGTCTGTATGATCCCTCCCCCTGTTCTGCATGGTTTTCCTCCGGCTTCCTTCCATGATTAAAAAAAAACCCACTTCCACCCCGCACAATTGAATTGCAGCCCCGTACTGTACACCACACACGAACGAGCGCGAGCGACAGTCACGACGCACCGCCACTCTCACAAAACGGCGCAACAAGCAATGGGCGAGCGACGGCGGCATCGCGAAACTCCGAGCCACAACGCGTCTTTACTGCCTCGTGGTGATTCACTGGTTTTTGTTATTATCTCGGAGTGAACCGGCAGGTAATTAGCGCAAGTTAAAATAAAAAAAAAATCTTAAAACCTTTGGGACCCTGTGGTCACCCAGAAGGGAACAATGGAATATATCTGACGACATCGCAACTGGCGATTAACAAATACGAAGGGGGGGAGGCATTGTCACAGGGGCCCCACTCCTCCGCTCCTGACGCTTCACGCAGCTGATTCGCCACCTCGGTGTAGGCTGACAGCTGTTGCTCTACTTCAACATCAGCCATGCGAAGAAAATGTGAACCTAGAAACTGTATTTAGTTCTGACTTATTTAAGGGGCGCCACGCTGGCGAGATGTCACCTTCCTCGCCTGGTCAGCACGAGGTCGGAGGTTCGACCCCGAACCTGACGCCTCCTGCTGCTGCTGCTGTATATTTGGAGTGTGCGCCTCTCTCTCCCCGTGTTCGTGTGGATTTTTTCTCCGGATCCTCCGTATTTTTTCTACACATTTAGAAACAACATGGATTTAGATTATTTTGATGATTTGGGGCTGCTCTAAATTTCCACGTGATAAGCCACTTCGTTGAGCTATCACTTGTGGCCACGTCGCTTGTGAAAAAGAGCTACATGCCTCAGTGGGCCTTACCTGGTAAGATAAAACATTGTTTAGATTTATTTGTATGTTTACCTTTCCTATAATTTGCACTCCTGTCGTGTTTTGTATTTGTTGTAACGTTCTGACCTGCCCTTATTGGACATCTGTGAAAAGAGCTTCATAGCTCATCGGATTCCTCTAATAAATATAAATATCTTGATTCTGACAAAAACGAAGAAGCGCAACTTCGTAACGTTTGCGTTTCTTCGCGTTGCTTTGTGCTCAGCTTTGTCGTCTTGTGCTCAGCTTTGTCGTCTTGTGCTCAGGTTTGTCACGACATCGACGAGTGCCACGACGGGAAAAACGGCGGCTGCGTGGACAACTCCATCTGCATTAACACCAAGGTGAGTGAGCTCACCAACACCATCACCAAGGTGAGTGAGCTCACCAACACCATCACCAAGGTGAGGGAGCTCACCAACACCATCACCAAGGTGAGTGAGCTCACCATCACCATCACCAAGGTGAGTGAGCTCACCAACACCATCACCAAGATGAGTGATCTCACCAACACCATCACCAAGGTGAGTGAGCTCACCAACACCATCACCAAGGTGAGTGAGCTCACCAACACCATCACCAAGGTGAGTGAGCTCACCAACACCACCATCAAGGTGAGTGAGCTCACCATCACCATCATCAAGGGGAGGGAGCTCACCATCACCAAGGTGAGTGAGCTCACCAACACCAAGGTGAGTGAGCTCACCATCACCATCACCAAGGTGAGTGAGCTCACCATCACCAAGGTGAGTGAGCTCACCAACACCATCACCAAGGTGAGTGAGCTCACCAACACCATCACCGAGGTGAGTGAGCTCACCAACACCATCACCGAGGTGAGTGAGCTCACCAACACCATCACCAAGGTGAGTGAGCTCACCAACACCAAGGTGAGTGGGCTCACCAACACCATCACCGAGGTGAGTGAGCTCACCAACACCATCACCAAGGTGAGTGAGCTCACCAACACCATCACCAAGGTGAGTGAGCTCACCAACACCATCACCAAGGTGAGTGAGCTCACCAACACCATCATCAAGATGAGTGAGCTCACCAACACCATCACCAAGGTGAGCGAGCTCACCCACACCATCACCAAGGTGAGTGAGCTCACCAACACCATCACCAAGGTGAGTGAGCTCACCAACACCATCACCAAGGGGAGTGAGCTCACCAACACCATCACCAAGGGGAGTGAGCTCACCAACACCATCACCAAGGTGAGTGAGCTCACCATCACCATCACCAAGGTGAGTGAGCTCACCCACGCCATCACTAAGGTGAGTGAGCTCACCCACGCTATCACCAAGGTGAGTGAGCCACCCACGCCGACACCACGGCGAGAAGGGACGATGGCCGATGGTCAAGAGTAATAACGAAGCGGTGGCCAAGGAATGGAATGCATCCGAGAGCTCAAACAATGTGGAGATGGAACGATGAGAATGAATGTGCAGGTGGTTATGGATGGATTGTTTTATCGCGCTTGGGGAGGCTTTCATCCAGCAGTGGATTGATCTTCGCTGTTTTTCGCGATGAGGAACGTTCCCATTGTATTCTATGAACACTTTTTTTAATGTAATTAGGTAGTGAATTTAATTGAATTGGCTCAAATTATGTTTTCGTGCTTAAATTTACATTTACAGTCAATAGGATGAAATGTATGGTGTTCTGCGTATGTATGTTTAACTTATTTTGCACCGTACATAGCCAACCGTGCTCATCGGAGGTGCGGAGGAAGGATAATTGTAGGTGCGGGTGAAGGACAAATACACAACGTGGACTAACACTCTCCCGTAGCGCGGCGTTGTCCACCGCACATGTTCCTCCTGGGAGTTTTGCCGTGCCCCTAATCCTGAGGTCTTAATACCCCTCGCATTCTCCGCAAGGGCCCAGATTATCCTGCCAGAGGGCCAGGGTTTAGATAATTCAGAGGGGTTCGACGGGCGGATTGGCGTCCCAGGGAATTTAAAATTTGGCTTTGATTTAACGTTGATTTATCTTTGCAATTTTTTTTTCAATTCCAGCATTGCTTTGTTGTGCGCATTTTTGTTTTCATCTCAATTGCTTATCCGAAGCTTGTCATTTAAGCCTATAATATAAAAATACACTTTCAAACGTAGGCTGTTGCAACAGATATTATTATTATAATTGGTTTCTTTTGGCTTAGATCGTGGAGGTTTAATGCCAATTTGCTTGAAACCCTCCACCACCCGACAATTAAATGAATTTGTCATGTGGAAAAATATACAAATTAATTTGGTTTCTTATCGAAACCGGGGGAGGAAAGTAGAAATATTAAATTTTATTTGATGGCTCTGTCGGGTGGTGAAAGGTTATCATTAAATCTTGGCGTGATACCTACACAGTAATCTAAGCCAACAATTAATCAAAATCAAATGCAATTAAACGCAAAAACCAGAGCATTGGGGAAAATGCGGCAATGCTAAAATGTGAGATTCCACTCGCGTCGTCTGACTTTTACCATTTCAGTGACCCAGGTCACTGTCGCGAATTCGACTCGAACCCTGTCCTCTGGAGTTCTCACGATGGTTACACAAAATACTCTTCAACCCCGACTCGCGCATTCACAATCACCAGTGCATTCGCGACCTAACTATTGACCGCAGCTGCTATGCTCAACATCATCATCAGCCGTGATCTATACACTGCTGGATGAACGCCTGCCCAATCTGCCGCCACCTCTCGCACTCCCGCGATGGAGCAACACACCCAGTTCCTGCACATGAACTGAATGCAACGCTCCACTTCCTCGAACGACCCAGCGGCTGTGGTTTGCACGCGACGGGCATGGTGTATGTACGTTGAACTTCTTTTGCACCGTACGTAGCCAACAGCCCTAATCGCAGATGCGGGGGAAGGACAACAAACTAAACACGAAAAAACAGTTCTAAAGAAAAGAACATTCAATATAGATTTTAAAATGCATAGCTCCAGTGCAGACGGCCTCAGAAGCGCAGTGACCATCTTTGTTCGATGGCGAGCCAATAGAAAATGGTGGGGCTTGGCCATACTTCAGCACGCTGGACAGCGCCAGATTCTCGTGTCTCACTGAGCACGGGGCTGCTATCAAGTTATTGACCTACTCGGGCTTAAGTGGCCCTTCAGCCTCTTTGCCCCGCCCTCGCCATTAATTTCCGATATTTAGCGCTAGACGCAGTTGTTGTCGCGGCATGTCTTGTGCTGTCTTGTGCTCGATGCAAATACGCGGAGTCAAGACACACACTGCGGGTGTATTCCCTGTGTGCGGTACGCGCCGTCTGCCTCACAGCGGACGTTTAATATCACGTGACGTGACTCGAACAAGACGAGGCCAGCGTGTGCCAGCCTCGCGAACCAAATGTGCCACAACAACAAACAACAACTACTAATAACTGAATTAGGAAACACAACTATCATCACCCTCCCATAGCGAAAACTTGGCAGGAAGCTCCCGGAACACCGACAATATGCAGCTCAACGAAGCAGTCCTAGCTAAACAAGCGCAACAATTATGAGAATACATACAATATACAAATGTATAATTATCACAATGAATTAATATACTACGCGTTTAATAACGCGCCAGCTCGTATTATTTCAGCTCACTGCTAAGTTGAAGAATAATGCTCACGATGCGCGACCTTTTGCTTGGAGCTGTGCCACGCGTCTTCAGGGACATGCAATATGTCACGGTAGAATCCAGGAAATCGGGATGTAAATTACGTTTAACTTAACACCTCTGTGCCAAGGGACATTACTGTGCAGGGTGGTTCAGATTTCTTGTGACCCACAATTAATTGACCCTTAACATTTTTTCCCTTTGCATATTAATGTCTGTTTTAAATAAACCTTACTTAAAAGCATATAAAGTTTTGGAGAATTAAATGGGGGTCACAAAACATCTGGGCCATCCCGTAGATGTTTAGAGTGTTTGGCTGTGATATATTTGGACGTGATAAGCCACTTCGCTGAGCTATCATTTGTGGCCAGGTCGCTTCTGAAAAAGAGCGATATAGCTTAGCCTTACCTGATGAAATAAAACATGGTTTGATAGTTTAATGTATATAAGAATGTATGTTGGAATTATTTCGCACCGTACGTAGCCAACCGTGCTAATCGTGGGTGGTAGACGCTGGCAGCTCGTGGAGCCAGGGTGAAGGACGCTAACGAGGCCACGCTTTTCCGCACTTGCCCTCCCGTCGCGTGCGAGCAGGGGTCATTCCAGTGTGGGCCCTGCGGGGACGGGTTCGTGGGAGACCAGAGGGTCGGGTGTCGGCGTGGGCACGGCTGTTCCGGGGCCCACAGAGCGCCCTGCAATGAGCAGGGCGTGTGCGTCACCACCGACAACGGATCCACCTCCTGCCAAGTAAAGATTGCAGTGCAAATCACAATCAGCAGCACCGTCATCATCAGCACCACCAGGGCCTCATGTCTCACTGAATATCTACCAGCCTGTGACAGAATCGGACGGATTTCGTCCGATTGTCGTCAGATCTCGAAAGCTAAGCAGGGCCGAGTCTGGATAGTCGCGCTTGGATGTGTGGCCAAGCGTGCGGACGAGGCAGGTGCAGACGGAAGCGCTGTGTGCAGGCGTGGGCAGTGCATTGAAATCCTTTGTTCTGCCCTCTCACCCCACCCCACCTTCAAGTCGCAGTGACAAACGTGGTGATGTATGGTCACGGTTCCCACCTGATGTGGAGAGGCCCAAATCCGAAGGTGCAGCCCCGAAATGTCTTGCCCACGTCACTGACGACAGAAAGGCCTCCCCTGGAGGGCGTTGTGGCCGCCTCTGCTGTGCTGAGCCGACTTGGACGAGGTGAGATGGCCCACACTTTACCCCACCACACGCGACCCGCCAATTCGTTAACGCTGCTTGGTGGACACGGGCATTGGTGAGGTTAAATAAACTTGCACAGTTGAGAACGTGAACTTGCGACCTCCGCAGGTCGCAAGTTCACTCACCGTGGCAGCCGGGGCAGCTTCCCGAGCTCAGTGAGGTAAATAAGCGTCACGTTCTATCTACAGCCATGGCTTCTTCTCACGCTATCTCCTCGGCATATCCAGCGCTCACACGGCAGCTCACACGGAACATCCAAGCCCGATCTTCCCAGCTGGTGTGCGCCCGCCTTTTCCCGCCTTTGCCCGCTGATCAGTCCCGTCCGTCCGCCCGCACACAGAGGCAACGACCGACCCCCCCCACCCCCCCGATAGACGGCAGGGGCAAGGATGCTGCCCCCCCCCCCCCCCCATGACTGTCGTGGGCAACAGACTCGACTCGCGATGCGAAGGTCGCCGCGTCATCTCCCGCCGTGGCACTTGGGGCGAAGCTGCGCGAGTTTCCTCAAATGTCGCCCGGCTCTTTGTCCGCCCAGAAGTCTCAAGTGGTGCGCCAGAGTTACATCGATTGGGTGGCCAGCACCACGCCCGGCTGCCTTTGCCTCCCGAGTGGCGATGTTTGCACACCACACCAAATACTTATTTGAGGCTGAGTCAACCTAGGTGAGGCCTAGGACCGGTTCAAATAATCGTCACTGGTGTTGGCCGTGAGCAGGAATCGAACTCGGATTGCCGGGTTTGGAATGCAGCGCGCTAACCGCGACACGACCGCTCCCCACACTCACACAACAGCAATCATTGCCCCCTACTGGCAGCAGACGATTACTCCACTCTCGCAAATGTGACTCCGTCCTGTTCGCGAGTTCTCACCTGGCTAAACAACAGAAACTTAACTTGAAACGTGATTATAGCTGACAAAGGGACATGCACACGATGCACACAATGAAAAGAGAGGAACACTCCCCCCTTGGATCTGAGAATGATTTCCCATATCCGTGAGCTCTAACATATATTTTTTTCATTTCCAATTGTGCCATTGCCATCAAATCTCAGACTGAATTATGTTCTGCAGAATAAGTTATCATTGAACCACTGCTGAAATCCCTGTCAGCGAACTCTATTCCACACACTGAGGATGCTGCTCTTTCTCACCTGTCCTGCTATTGAGACGTTCATCGCATGCAAATCAAACCGAAATACATATTTTTTTCCATTCTCACGCTAGAATTGCTATCATCATATTAACCAAATGTACAAGTGGTCATTGGTGACCGGACTGAGACCATCAACTCACTGCACTTGAGAACTCAATTTCACTACAGTCGGTGGATAAAACCAGGATTTGAACCCAAGTTACAGTGGTGTCGGCTCAGTGCTCTGGGCCCTCTGCTCAGTGGGCTTTACCTGGTTAAATAAAATAATTTATCTACGTGACTTTACTGAAAGAATAATTTGATTTGTAAATTATTTTTAGTGAATTGCTGTACCTTTCCTATAGTTTGCACTCCGATCGTGTTTTTGTGTTGTTGTTGTATCGTTCTCACCCGCCCCGAATGGACATCTGTGAAAATGAGCTTTGAAGCTCATTTGATTCCTCCACTATAAATACATATCCTGATTCTCAACGAACCCAGCTCTGAGAATGTAAGGCTGTGCGTGTGGATAGATGGGGAAGCTACGCGAGCAACCTGAGCAGCCCCGCACGATGGCCATGCTCGTGGGTGACGTGAACATTTAATAAAAAATGTGAATGTCATTTAAACCGCACTTCAAATTGACGAGAATGTAACCAGGGTCACCAAACTCCAAACCACGACCCCCCCACTGACCTAGCCCGCAGCTCCCAAGTGTTCTTTAAGCCGTCACCTCCATTTGACACTAAAATAATTACCTCATCAAATCTCGTCCGGTGCAAGTAATAAATCACGTGCGGTTTTTTTTTGCAAATGTGACAAATGCCGCAGATACTAAGCGTGAGATTTAATCCCACATTCCCAAAGGGGGATCTCGCTGAGAACAGTGACGCGGTTGTCAATCGAAAAACTTGATTTAGCGATACGGTAATATACCGTTTATCATGCCCCACCGTCGTTATTCTACCTCATTATCATCATGGATTCCGAGATGCCTGGCTCAACCCCCGTGCTGCAGTGCACACAAAAACAAATATCCCCCGAGTGGCCTACATGGGCTGCAGGGGCAAGTGCTGTTAGCAAGCACCTATGGGATGAGTATAAACTACAAACGATAAATAATTGTCATTTACCAGGTAAGGCCACACTGAGCTATATCGCTCTTTCCCAGAAGCGACCTGGCCACAAATGATAGCTCAACGAAGTGGCTTGTGTAAACATTTATATCAGCTAAATACTCTAAACGCGTGTTTCTAAATGTGGAGGGAAAAAACGGAGGATCCGGAGAAAAGTCCATGCGACCACGGGGAGAGAACATGCAATTTCAAAATATACAGGCGCCAGGGTCGGGATTCAACCCACGCGTCCTTCATACCAGGCGAGGTAGTTATCGTCTCGCCACCGTGGGTGTGATCAGAACCACGTCCTACCGTATTTGTGTCCCCAGTGCTGATGTTTACACGACACAAGGTGAGTCATTTAAAGGTTGAATCGATCTAGGAGACACCCAAGACCGTTTAAGATAATTGCCGCTCATGTTCGCTGTACCCGGGAATTGAACTCAGGTCTCTGGGTTCATAGCACAGGGTGCTCACGACTACCCTACCACTGGCCACTAGTGCTGCATACAAACATATATGACAAATATCCCCATAATAGCCTTTCCGTTTCGCGAAAGTGGCATTAGCGAGCACCGATTAAGGTTGTTGGCATGTACCACTGCCAACTTGTACCATGTTTGGAGCCGGATCACCCGGAGAACACCGACACGTGGGAGGGCAGCAACACTCTGTCCCATACAGATGGAACATATGGGAGTCCGCATTTGCTGTGCCGCCTTCTCCTGGCGAGCCAGGGTATGGCACCTCCTAGATGTCCACAGAAAGGAAGTTTCACATTTGTGCGGTGATCCACCAACCCTCGCCGCTGCCTCAAGTGCCGCTGCATCACAGGCGGCCACGTGGGACGTAGCCACCGCGCCCGTCTAGAACTGTGTTGTTATTTGCATGGGCAGTGCAGGGTGGGCTGGGCTGGAAATGGCTTCGTTTGTGGAATCGACACTGACTTGGACAGCTATCCTGATGAAGATCTGAGCTGCAAGGACAGCAACTGCAGGAAGGTAAAAGCTGCCCGCCCCACGTGACCCGCACCGCATCCACCCAATGCCTTCAGCTGCCATGAAAGCAAAGCAGCTCTTCTCGTAAACACAAACTCAACATTTACATGAGCTGAAGTTGCCAGAGCAGCTTTGGCGGTGAAAGGTCCTCTCTTTCATCTCTTTTATCCTCTGCGTAACACAAAATCACCATGAGTGTTGTTGTATAGCAGAGTCTACATTTTTCAGTGGGCTCAAGCCTTCTGTAAATCACGTGACGCTGCGTGGCCGCCCCCACTCTGAATCCCTCTCCCCGTCGCCCCCTGTGAACACACACGCTGCTGCTGCTCCTCCATGAAGCCCACTGCTGCTTTTTTCTGTATCTCTCTCCTCCCCTATCATCATCAACATCATCATCAACATCTCATCCCTCCTCCCCTTTCTGCCAGGTGCTCTTTCATTTTAAACATGCCTTGAGATGATTTTGCTGCGAGAAATTTCCACGTGAAAATCCACTTCGTTGAACTGTCGTGTCATTTTATTTTCTGTTCTCCGGTGTTTGTCGAGCACCCCCTGGTGGTCACAGATTTCGAAGCTGAAATCGCACGGAATTTTCCGCGGCTGCCAGATTCTTGTTTGTTTACGCCGTGATGAGCAACCCTGCCGTGCTATTCTCGAGCATCGTGGCAGCAGCAGCAATACGGTCAGGAGCTCGATGCCAATGTCGAGGTCTAGCTGCTGCTCGACACGACGAGAGGGCTTCCGCAGAGAGAGAGACTTCGTGTCGTGTCGCTCTTCCTCCTCCGGCATTGGTTGACTGTGTGGTCCCTAGTTTGGGTTGCATGGTCACAATTGCATTGCTGTGAATTGTCTTTAATGTATCTCGATTTATGAATGTTCCATTAATGAATGAGATGTGTGCAATCGGCCTGGTGATAAATGCCTCGATTATATGGGTTTTACATTTTCATGCTTTTGATACTTAAATTAGTGTTTATTTAATGAAAAATAAGTTTAAAAAATAAAATTTGACTGTTGCAAAGTTATACATCATCACAATCAAGACAAGTGTCCAAACCGTATCACCCAGAATGCACCCGGCCTCGTCGGCTCCTGGATGTTGGATTGTAGGGGCGACCACCTTGTACAGCAGGTGCTATAGGCTGTGGGTCCACGTGGCGGGCGGTAGACGGACAGCGCAGCAAAATCTTGTCCTTCCACACTCCGCTCATCTATACTGCCTGCCTACAACATCCCGCAGCTAGCCAGTGTGGCGTAGTATTGGGCAAACCAATGACAACCCACACGGGAGTAGAGGAGGCCCTCATCCAGCAGTGGAATTGCAAAAGGACTAAATTTCGATTTAAAGCTTTCGTGACTGCAATGATTCATCTTCTTTGGTTCTTTCGGTAAAGTCACGTAGAATGAGAATAAAATAATAAATTGATAAAATAAAATAATACAATAATATTCTCACGACGTTTCGGCCACAACACAAGCGGCCTTCATCAGGTGAAGGGACGAGACTGTCTGGTAGGACAGCGCTGGGGTGACAGTCTCGTCCCTTCACCTGATGAAGGCCGCTTGTGTTGTGGCCGAAACGTCGTGAGAATATTATTGTGTTATTTTATTTTATCAATTTATTATTTTATTCTCATTCTACGTGACTTTACCGTAAGAACCAAAGAAGATGCAAAAGGACTGTAGAGGCACATACGCTGCACATACTGTTTCATCTCATTCGTACCGTGCTCAACCATCGCACTGCGGATCACAACAACACATTCGTTCATCCACCCACTCACCACGCTGCAAGTCACGGGACACCCACACACTCAATCACTCCACCTCATTGGCCCACCCACGCACCACGCTGCAGGTCACGACGCTTCTGCTTTTTGCCTCGCACTGTTCTACTTAGAAATGCCCTCCTCCCATCGTCTCTTCCCTCCCGAAGCTGTTATAGCAATAAGCTCGCTCAATTCTGATACAACTTTGATAATAGTACCGCTTGCTGCTGACCGCTTGATGTGTTTGGACCCTTTGGGGGGGTGGGGGTTTGGGGGTCTGTACCCAAACATTTTGTCGTAAAAAAAAGAAAGCCCCAGAGAGCGCCTCTCATTTCAGGACAACTGCCGCCTGACGCCCAACTCGGGACAGGAGGACGCGGATGGCGATGACGTCGGGGATCAGTGTGACCCCGATGGAGATGGTGATGGCATCACCAACGAAGAGGTGAAATGAGTGACGATGATGGTAGTAGGCTCATTCTCGCAAGAAAAGCAACGGGAGTCGTGCCGAATCCAGACCCCACAGTCGGCCGAATTGAGGCCCCTTTCTGTTGTGTGGCTGCGATTCGTCGCTCGGTAGGTGGCGCTACAGGACTCGGTCGCAGTGTTGTCGGTTAACATCTTGGCCATAGTAGCAGATCCCGGTAGTCGATCAGTTGTCACCGCTAATCAGTCATCGTTGTGGTCAGGGTCATCGGGAACATCAGGACCTTTAACAATAAATTAAACACCACCGCCACTATCCCCATCATCATTACGAACACCACCACCATCATTATTTTTATCCCTCTTGCATCAGTAAAATGTGATGATTCGCCCCTCTCTTAATTCAATGAAATGAAAAGGTTCTATGAAATAAAATGTGCCTTTATTACATGTTTTCCCCCATTCCAGCCATTGTGTTATTCCACTGCTGGATGAGGGCCTCCCCAAACCATGCAGCTTGTGGGGATTACTTAACCATATTTCACCACGCTGGTCAGTGCGGGATGATGAAGGCGAGGAGCATAGACGTGGGAGCATAGGACTGTACGACTTTTATTTTGGTGCGCTGCGGTCTGCTGCCCGCGATGTACCACCGTCGCAGCCTGTAACGCCCATTACGCGTTTTTTAAAACGAATTACTTTAGAACCGCTTGTCGTGTTTAGTTTGTTGTCATTCCCCCTCACCTCCGATGAGCACGGTTGGCTGCGTACGACGCGGAAGAAGTCAAACATGCATGTGTACAATACTCGTAACGCCTGCCGCCCATCCGGAGCTGAACCCTGCAGTAGCTGCTGGGATCTGACGGACTCGGGCGCATTAGCCAGGGGCTTCGGTCACGGGGCGGTTTCCGTCGTCGTCGTCCCACGGTAAATCCAGGGACCGCCAAAGTGCCGCGAGGAGTCCTCAGCAGCTGGCATGGGTGACCCTGAGCGAGAGTCCCACCCGCGCCGCCCGTTGACAGTGTCCAGGTCACCTGGAGACCCAGGTGACCTGGACACCGTCGCTTAGTCACCTGGAGATCCCAGGTGACCTGGACACCCTCGCTTAGTCACCTGGAGACCCCAGGTAACCTGGACACCGTCGCTTAGTCACCTGGAGATCCCAGGTGACCTGGACACCGTCGCTTAGTCACCTGGAGATCCCAGGTGACCTGGACACCCTCGCTTAGTCACCTGGAGACCCCAGGTGACCTGGACACCGTCGCTTAGTCACCTGGAGATCCCAGGTGACCTGGACACCGTCGCTTAGTCACCTGGAGATCCCAGGTGACCTGGACACCGTCGCTTAGTCACCTGGAGACCCCAGGTGACCTGGATACCGTCGCTTAGTTACCTGGAGATCCCAGCTAACCTGGGCACCGTCGCTTAGTCACCTGGACATCCCAAGCAGGGGGCGCACAGATGCGGACAGGTGGAGAGGTGCGTGTACGCGTCTGCAGCGACGTCCCGTGCGCATCTCAAACGGCGAACGTGGGAATTTAACAAATGTATATTTTGTACTTGATAAATGTTACCGCGCATCCGCCGCAGGACAACTGCCGGCTGGTGCCGAACCCCGACCAGCGCGACACGGACGACGACGGCTTCGGCGACGCCTGCGACAACTGCCCGGCCGTCTCGAACCCCGACCAGCACGACGCGGACCGCGACGGGCACGGCGACGCCTGCGACAGAGACGTGGACGGGGACGGTGCGTGGCCCACCGGGCCCTGCCAAGCCGGGCTGAGTCGAGTTGAGACGAGCAGAGCGCTGCGAAACTGAGCCACGCCAAGCCGAGCTCGGCTGAGCTGAGCCGAGCCGAAGTGAACTGAGCAGAGCTGAGTGGAGTTGAGCCGAGCGGGCTAAATACCCCTCCAGAGTGGCTCGATGGAGCTCGACCTGGTGCAGGGCATTCTGCCAGCAGTGAGCAAAGCAATTGCAGTGCTCCACCTTTGCCTATCGCTTCCTCTCACGTCTCGACGCCTTTAAGACAATCAGCAATCCAGCCCTGCGAAGGTGAGGGTTGGTGGACTACGCAAGGTGAGGGTTGGTGGACCACGCAAGGTGGACTCAACACGAGGAAGTGCCATGCCCTGGCTCTGTCAGAAGGTGGCACAGTATTGATGTGAACTCCATCTATTTCATCTGTACGGTGTAGAGTGTTTCCCCCTCGCACGTGTGGGTTTCCCCCGGGTGCTCCAGTTTCCTCCCACGTGTAAACATTGATTAACCGAAAACACGTGCATATATAGAAGACTGCAGAGCTCGGTGGGGGTGGGAGGAAAATTTGCCTCCGCTTGGCTGCTGCTGCTGCTGCGGCCTTCCCGCTCATCTGTGGTTCCTCCTCGCGCCTCTGGATTGTTCTCTCTCTGTGTGAGCAGATTATATGCGGGGTGTTACAAGTTGAAGTTATTATGATACAATCGGGGGGGGGGAAATATAATATTTAAATCCTGGCCGCATCGCCGCCTACCGTGGGGCAGGATTGTGAATTGTGCACTTGCCGTGTGGTCGGTGTCGGCTGGGGTCGTCTGCGCAGGGATTCCCAACATTCTGGACAACTGCCCGCGAGACGTGAACCCTGATCAGCTGGACAGGGACTCGGACGGCGTGGGCGACCAGTGCGACAGCTGCCCCAACGTCAGCAATCCCACCCAGGTGCCGTCACCTCCCAGACGAGGGCCGCTTAGACTATTAAACTGTACAAATATTTTTTTTATATTTTACCAGGCAAGGCCCACTGAGCTAAGTAGCTCTTTTTTTGGAAGTGATCTCGCCGCAAATTATTGCTTCCATCCAGCAGTGGATTGACAAAGTGCTGTAATAGATGTCTTCACCCTTATAGCAATATGGTGAATGCGTTACGAGTCGGGGTTATGAGTAATTGTTGCTGTATCGTTTGAATCCTGTCTCGTTTGCAGAGGGCAGACTCGAGACGTCCCAGGTTTGGTGGGGGGGGGGTCGATTGGGATAGGGGGTGGGGGTGAGCCGGAAGATTTCAGCTTCTTTAAATCGGGCCCTGCATTACTCAAGAAATAAAACCTCCAACCCTACATCCCAAAAAAAACGATGCACTTTATCGGTTACATATCAGTAAGAGACCAATGTTTGTGGTCTCAAGTGGGGGGCTGGTGACCCCCTTCGCCGTACGCCCCTTTGTGATCCACCGCTGCTCATTTGCCTTGACTCTGGTGCTGTGTAGTTCGCACACCTCCTCGTTTGTTTACAGTCTTATTGTGAACGTTAATACTGTTTAGATTAGCAGTGGTTACATTCATAATGGTTACATTGTTATTGTTTACATTAATATTGTTAACATTAATATTGCTGACATTAATACTGTTTGCATGCATGAGAGTTACATTCATATTGTTTTCATCAATATCGTTTACATTCATAGTGTTTACATGAATAGTTTATGTTCTGTAATCTTCTAAACAATTATATGGCGTGATATTTGTTGTCATGTTCCATTTTAATACTTGTGTTTGATTATCAACAATATATGGTTATAATGAATACATATATGTTCGAAGAATCAAACATACATTTTAATTACCAAGCATATTCGACAAACACAGGGACCAAAAGCTTATTCACGGATCTAAAATCTAAGAAACAAACCCGCGAATCCAACAGGCGCGTGCTTATCATAGAGCAGATACCTTCAAAGGCAATTACCATGCACGTCGGGGTTTGACACGTGGGTCGCACGCGTGGGTGGGGTGGAGAGAAGGCAGCGTAGTCGTTAGCGCCCTGCGCTACACACGCACTGTGCTACACACACACTGCGCTACACACACACACAGCGCGACACACACACTGATCTGCACACACACTGTGCTACACACACACACACTGCGCTACACACAGCGAGACACACACACTGCGAGACACACACACTGCGCTACACAAAGATAAAGATCCCCCATATAGCCTTAACAGACTGTAGGGGCAAGTGCTGTTAGCGAGCACCTATGAAGGCCGGAACGGTACACGAGGGGGTGGGTGGCCAGAACCACGCCCGACCGCCTTTGTCTCCCCAGTGGCAATGTTTACACACCGCACCAGGTACTCATTTGAGGCTGAGTCGACCTAGGGGAGGCCCGGGACCGGTTCAGATAATCGTCACTGGTGTTGGCCGTGAGCGGGCATCGAACCCGAGTCGCCAGGTTCATAGCGCAGCGACAGCGCTACACACACACTGCTCTACACACACACACTGTGCTACACACACACTGTGCTACACACACACTGTGCTACACACACACACACTGCTCTACACACACACAGCTCTGCACACACACACTGCTCTGCACACACACACTGCGCTACACACACACACACACACTGCGCTACACACACACACTGTGCTACACACACACACTGTGCTACACACACACACTGCTCTACACACACACAGCTCTGCACACACACAGCTCTGCACACACACACTGCTCGGCACACACACACTGCGCTACACACACGGACCGCTCTGCACACACACACTGCTCTGCACACACACACTGCTCTGCACACACACTGCGCTACACATACACACACTGTGCTACACACACGCGCACTGCGCTACACACACACGCACTGCGCTACACACACTGCGCGACACACACTGCTCTGCACACACGCACCGCTCTGCACACACGCACCGCTCTGCACCCCACAGCTCGACACACCCACAGCTCGACACACGCACCGCTCTGCACACCCACAGCTCGACACACCCACAGCTCGACACACGCACCGCTCTGCACACCCACAGCTCGACACACCCACAGCTCGACACACCCACAGCTCGACACACGCACCGCTCTGCACACCCACAGCTCGACACACGCACCGCTCTGCACACACGCACCGCTCTGCACACCCACAGCTCGACACACCCACAGCTCGACACACACGCACCGCTCTGCACACCCACAGCTCGACACACGCACCGCTCTGCACACACGCACCGCTCTGCACACCCACAGCTCGACACACACGCACCGCTCTGCACACCCACAGCTCGACACACACGCACCGCTCTGCACACCCACAGCTCGACACACACGCACCGCTCTGCACACCCACAGCTCGACACACCCACGCACTGTCATTTTTGTAACCGACAAGTAGCTGCATAATTACAATACCATCTCATTTATTACAAACACAAAATATTCTGAAATCTCCTTGATAATGTTCGTAAACGTGAGCCACGTCACACTACCATGGCGGAGGACCTGGCAGTGACTTTAAAGTCTTCCCAACGTTCCCAACTAAGGGTGAAACCATTCATGAATTAGCTTTGCCCATCTGTCTGTCAGCCCGTCTGTGATGGGCTTCGGGGGAATGGGGGGCGGAGGGGACCCGATGACTCTCGTGAAGATAGTCCGATACGAACCAAACCTCATTGTCAATTTGTGTTGCTGTTCGGAGCTATCCGGAGAGAACCCCGGCCGAATTAATCAATAGTTTGCCTGAAACCTGGAAAGACAGAGCGGCACGAATGTTACTATTTGCAAACATGCAAATTCATTTTTGCACTGACAGCTGCACCCGCCGATTTCAGCACTGCCAATTAACTGCTTCCAAAGACAATCGCATGATCGAAAGCGTCACGTGGCAATACATACGCGCGCATCATTTTTGTGCTCCTTGTTTCACATTTAACGAGGCTCGCAACGTCCTGCCCGGGGCCATCCCAGCTCCCACGGCCTCAGCGTCCCTCTGCTGGACGAGGCGCCGCCCGCCGCTGAGCGAGGCACAGGAGCGGCGTCTTTTTCAGTGATACAACCAGGAAAACGAGAGCGCAATGATTGCCACCTGACCCTCCCCTCCCTCCCTTCCTCATTCTAACCACGGTGTCAAGATTTCCCCGAACGAGGAGGTGGGGAGGGTCATGCCCTCCTAGTTTCAAATCAACTCCTCCTACCTCCCAGAGCCGGTCCGACTGACACGTGGCCACCACCTTCACGCCTGCGACGCCAGCCGTGGCAGGCGATGCCGCCGGCACGGCTCCCGTGTGACTCCGTTATGTCAATTTGCGTCGGCCGATGCTCGCCAGCCCCGCCGGAGCGGGCGCGAGGATTTGGTTTTCCGGCCGAAGCGCCGCGCAGCGACGTCCGTGGTCGTCGCGGGAGTGCGCCCGAGAGACGCGTGGCGAGAGTCACGTGGGCGCGCGCATAAACCACAGAGCAAATGTTGTGCCCCTGGAAACCAAACTTGTCGATCGCTGGAAACCGAAATGATCGATCGCGGAGAGAAAGCTCATTGATCTATGGAGATAGATGAATGGAACAGGGGTCACCGGAGCTATTGACCCTCGTTCGGACGTTGCCTGTCCAGGCTCAGATTCCCGGTTTCCGGCTCCACGCAAGTGCGGTGCGGTGCCCCACGCGCCGCTCCGCACAAGGGAAGACCAAATGATCGTCTCGCAGGCACAACACGTTGACAGCAGTTGTTGTTGTTTGTTGTTGTTTGTTGATGTTTGTTGTTGTTTGTTGTTGTTTGTTGTTGTTTGTTGTTTTTGTTGTTGTTTGTTGATGTTTGTTGTTGTTTGTTGTTGTTTGTTGTTGTTTGTTGTTTTTGTTGTTGTTTGTTGATGTTTGTTGTTGTTTGTTGTTGTTTGTTGTTGTTTGTTGTTGTTGTTGTTTGTTGATGTTTGTTGATGTTTGTTGTTGTTTGTTGATGTTTGTTGTTGTTTGTTGTTGTTTGTTGTTGTTTGTTGTTGTTTGTTGTTGTTTGTTGATGTTTGTTGTTGTTGTTTGTTGTTGTTTGTTGATGTTTGTTGTTGTTGTTTGTTGTTGTTTCTTCGCGCCTCTGCAGGCCGACATGGACGACGACTTAGTCGGAGACATTTGCGACACAAACGAGGACAGGTAACATATATATAGTAATTGAATAACTCAAAATAAATGCGGCACGGATGTCTTTGTGAGCCAAACACTAATGACCGCGTCGTGGTCAAGACTTGAATGGGACTGCATTTTTTTATTTTTCCTTAAATGGGCCCCAGCTGCTGGTGCATTGGCTTTAATTGCCTTTGCTAAAAGGGCCCTTCCTGCCAGAAAAGCACAACCGGTTCCCCCCCCCCACACTCCCACTACCCACCCCCCAACCCTCTCTCACTTGGCCAGTTCACTTGGAACGTGAGCCCTCATTGCTGCGGCGAGCTTCGAATTCTGTCCACGCGGTGCGACTGGGGAAGAGAAAGCGGGCGCAGGTTATCCATCCCCACTCGCCCACACGGCACTTAGCTTCTACCCCACCACCCCCGTCTTAGAGTCGAGGTGAGAGGCAGCAGCAGCAGCAGCGTTGTCTTCTCGTGGTCGAGGTCAGAACAGCCGCGCCGTTCCAATTCTAAATCGGGCCACCAGTGCCGCTAGGCGGTCGGGCGGCTCGCAACTGGAAGGTCGCAAGGTCAAATCCTGGTGTGCGGACGATGACTCGGCGCTATAATCCCTCCGGGGTCGATAAAATGAGCACCACACTGTGGTGTTGTCCTATGTGGAATTTCCCGCACCGGCTAAGGGCTGTAAACCGGAGATGAGCGCCACTTCGATAATCACCTGAGCTGGAAATCGCGTTGACGTGGCCTTGCCCGATTCCATTACGCGTTCGTCGTGTGAGCGCCCGCGCAGAGCGAACTGCAGCGGGCTCAGCAGAGCGCGCGTCTTAGGCCCGGCCTCTCAAGCGCTCATTGCAAAGCAAATGAAGCAAAGCAGCTCATTTGCAACCCTATAGCAGCAGGCAATGGGCAAATTACATAATGCATTTTTTAATGCCCTAGGCATGAAGTGCTATTAATGAACCTCTGCCCTTCCAAGCCCACATACGTGCTTTGCATTTCTGAGGCACCCTCCCCAGCCCTCTGTCTCTCTGGGGGGGCCCGAACGAGCGTCTGTTTTGTTAATCCGCCAGTAGCCATAAGTGGATGTCGCCGCATCCAGCCGAGGGCCCGGTAGTCTGTTAAGGTGAAGGCTGTGTGTTCTCATAAAGATTGCTCTTTCCTCTGCGATTTCGGAGGGCACGCTATAAAATATGAATCTGTGTAATCTTGACGTGATTGGGCTGTAATTGGGAATGTATTCGCGTTTTCAACTGATTGATAACAATTATAATAATTCTCATTTCGTAACGAGCGCATACTTCGCGAATCGAACTCGGAGGCGCGGAGATTTATTTTGGGATTCTTTCACGATCGTTATTAACGCTGCCTTAGCAATTAAACAAAATGTTACGTTATTGCTTGTCAAATATTTTGAGTCAGTGGCAGAGTAGTTTGCGCACTGCACAATGAACCCGATGAGCTAAGTTCAATTCTTGACAAGTCAATCTAACAACTTCTTACCCTGTCAGAGCGAATGCTGACCCCAGACATTAGTGAGACTTCGTGGTTTACAAGAGTTTTGCCTCCACAGCTGCCCCGTCAGCTTCCGTGCCGCTAATTAAATCCATCCGAAGACAAACGCGTGGAGGAGAGCGTTGCTGGATCCACAGCTCGTGCGACGCTACTTACTCCCCTTGTTTCATCTCCGATGACCTCTGTCCGCTACGGCGTCGGAACGTCCGGCTTGTTGCGGAGGTTCGCGGTTTGGTTCCGGCAGGCCGCCCCGTTTAATACTGCAACGGCGTTACCCGTCAAATACTACGCGGTGTTTACTTCACGGTAGAAGTTAAAGATCCCGTGATGTAATTCGAAACGAGTGGGCCATCGCATGCCAGTGTCAAAAAATTACATGGAAAATCACTCGATTGGGATTACGCACACACAGCAAAATCACCCCCTACTGTGAAACACAGCAGCGGTGCCTTCCTTCGTGGCGATCGCCCCACGCTCTTTGGAATGACGGCGCCCCTACCACAGCTGCTCGAATGACGTCCGGTATCGTTCTCATCGTACTCGTTGTGCGGCGATGCTTGCACCGCAGCGACGGGGACGGAGTGCAGGACAACCGAGACAATTGTCCCGAGGTGGCCAACAGCTCGCAGCAGGACACGGACGGGGACGGCCTGGGCAACGAGTGCGACGACGACGACGATGGCGACGGAGTCCGCGACAGCGACGACGACGGCGACGACGACGCCCCGCCTGGGCCCGACAACTGCCGGCTGGTGCCCAACCCCGGGCAGGAGGACGGAAACCGTGAGCGCCACGCACACACTCACACACACACTCACACACACTCACACTTTCACACACTCACACACACACTCAACAACAACAACAACAACCGCCATTCGCCACTAAGTGGCGGTGACGTCACCACGACGCTTGTGCCAGGCTATGTGCACCCTGAGGCCACGTGAAGTGTCGAACGCCCGCTGGCAGGAGGTCACGGGGCAGACCCAGGTGCCACGGGTCGACTGACTGAGATGACTGGCTGATGCACCACCTGTGCCCCCTACTGTGCCAACCTGCTGTGCTTTAGCCACCCGGCGCTCCGCTCGCTGTTGTGAGCGTCGCTCCTCCGCCCTCCGTTGTTGTTGGAGGGCGACTGCCTCCAACTGCCCAGTAGCATCCTTCACGAGCCTCCTCCACAGAGGCCGATCTTGACACCGCTGGTACCAGTCATCGGCAAGTCCACTCAGCTCCACGTCCTCCTGTACCACATCACTCCATCTCTTCTCTAGCCCGTGCCGCGCCCGCTTAGCCCCCTCAATCCGGCCAAACAAAAGCTGTTTCGGCATGCGGTGGCTGGGCATGCGGGCTACATGACCCAGCCATCGCAGCCTTGCCTGCCGGAGGAGCTCACCGATGGGACCCTGCCCAGATCTTTCAAGGATTTGTGAGCTCCTCACACAATCCAGTCTGGTTAAACCCAGGATGGATCGTAGGCAGGTCAGCCTAAATGTTTCTAACCGGCGAAGATGTTTCATTAGGGGGGTCCACGTTTCGCAAGCGTAGAGAAGGGAGGGAATGACCGTGGCCGAGAAGACCTGAAGCTTAGTGCGGAGCGACAGACCAGGTAGCTTCCACACAGCGTTACGCAACCGATGAAAAGATATTGCCGCTCGACTGATTCGGAGTGAGACCTCTGCTGTTAAACTGGAGCCAGTCATAAGCACACTGCCCAGGTATGGGAAACTCTCCACTCTCCCCACAACTGCCCCATCACCGATTGGGAGCCGTGGGGGCGGAGTGTCCGATGGTACAAAATACCCAGGCAGGTGCTTAGTTTTGGTGGGGCTGATGGTAAGGCCCCACCTCTTAGTGGCACGCTCCAGTCTCAGCAGCAGCGTCTCCAACTCCTCCTCTGACTGAGCAGCTATTACCAAGTCATCAGCATACATAACGTGGTTGAGCAATAGGGAGCCATCCCTTGACCGCACCCGGGCATCGATTAGCCTCCCATTATATCTGTACCATATGGAGATTCCCCCGGTACAGCTATTGAAGGCTTCACGAACTACGTGGTCAAAATAGATGTTAAATAATGTGGGAGCCAGAGGACATCCCTGTCGCACCCCAAGGTGTACAGGGAATGGCTCTGACTCCCGGCCACGTAGTTTTACCCGGGCCCGCTCACCATCATGAAGGTCCTTAATGATCGTGAGCAGAGGGTCAGGTACTCCAAAAGCACGAAGAACGACCCAGAGCCCAGGCCTACTGATGGTATCATAGGCCTTGACCAGGTCAATAAAGCAGAGATGTAGGTCTTGTTGGAATTCCCTACACCTCTGCTGTAGCAGACGGACAGAAAATATGGCATCTGTGCAGGACCGCCCTTTCCTGAAACCGCATTGGGGCTCCGCAAGCCTCTCCTCAGCGTGCCTGGCAAGGCGATGCTGAATAATCCTTGCCAGGACCTTTCCCGGCACACTGAGGAGTGAGATGCCCCTGTAGTTGTTACAGTCTGTGCGGTCCCCCTTCTTAAAAAGGGGGACCACCAGGGCATCCTTCCAATCCTGCGGAACCCGTCCAGTGGTCCAGACTGTTGTTATGATGTCATATAGGGCAGTCTGTGCACAAACGCCACCCTCCCTCAGCATTTCGCTTGGGAGATCATCTCTGCCCGCTGCCTTTCCTGGTCTCAGACTCCGGATCGCCTTCAATACTTCCTCAGCAGATGGCACCTCAGCCAGCCACTCACAGGGGGTGACTTCATCCAATATTTGAGGCACCGCAGCCTCAGCAGGGTCATCCTCACTTTGTGCCACGATGTTTTCCTGGCTGTGGGATTTTCCCTCCCCCAGGACCTCACTGAAATGCTCAGCAAATCTGCGAACCTGTTCCTGGGGGTCGGAAATTGGATCACCGTTTTTTCCCCTAATGATGGTAATAGGTGTGGCGCTGCAGGTTACTTTTTTGATGGAGTTAAATAGCGATTTGTGATCACGGGCCACTGAGGCAGACTCCATCTCCTCAGCAACCCGCGACCACCACCCATCCTTGCAGCGCCTCACGGCTCTCCGAACCTCCGAGCGAAGGCTGCGGTAAGCCTCCTCATTCTCTGACGTGGGATTCTGTAGCCGATGACAGTGGGCCTGTCGCTTTTTCTCAACCATCCTGAACAACTCCTCTGTCATCCAGGGTGTCTGGGGAGGTCTGGACCGCGTACCCAAAGCAGCCATTGCAGCTGCATGAGTCACAGTCCTAAACCTCGCCCATTTACCCTCGACATCAGGAGGAGTCGGGGACGATGCCAATCCCAGCCGCAAGCGATGATGAAATTCTCGCTTGCAACTTTCATCAGATAACTGAGACCAGGCCACTTTAGGTTGGAATGGGGTCCTGGGTGTACACCCACCACCGGAGTGGAAGAATGGCAGGCGCATCTTACAGATGACTAGTCGATGGTCAGAGGGCAGATCAGCTCCACGGTAGGTCCTGGTGTCAAGGACATGGGCTCGCATTCGCTGGTCCGTCACTATGTAGTCCAGCAGATGTTCTTGCTTGGACCCGGCATGCATCCATGATGTTGTGTGGATGCGCCGATGCCGGAACAGCGTGTTGGTAATTACAAGCCCATGGGCTGCACAAAAATCTAGCAGCCTCCTACCATTGTTATTGAGCTGATCTGGCCCATGCCCTCCAATCACTCCAGACCAGGTGCCAGTATCATGACCAACTCGGGCATTGAAGTCACCCAACATGATGACTCTATCCCGAGGGGCCACTTTAGCCAGCACCTGTGACAGGAGGTCATAGAAGGCATCTGACTCATCGGCTTTGCCTGCATCCCTCCACGGATGTTCATCTTCGGTGGGGGCATAAGTAACCACGACCACCATTCCTCGCCTCCGGTTGATGGGAAGGCGAGCCCAAAGTAGCCTGGGGCTTACAGCTTCCCACACCTCACCGCCACGCTCCCACGCCCCCTTCATTCTTTTGTTCAAAAGAAGACCCACACCCTGTTGTTTGGCAGTCTGCTGCCCCGAGTAGAGGACTGTCCACCCCTCATGGTGGCAGGAGCCAGAGCCGGTCCACCGGACCTCCTGAATGCCGCATAGATCCAGGCGGTACCGGTCCAGCTCCCGACAGAGGAGTGGCAGCCTCTCCTCTGCAGTGAGCGTTCGAACATTCCACGTGGCCACCCGTAGTGGCTTTTCGTTGTTTCTGGAGTAGCCCCGAGGGTAGGTATTCAATCTCCTGGCTCCGCCAATTGGGGTTTGGCCAGGAGACGTCATAGACGCCTGGCCCCCCGGGGCCTCCGGCACAAGCTTAGTTGTTACATATTTCACTTTAATTCGTGGTTTTGTGGTAATTAATTGAAGGTGGAGGGGTTACCAGCCCCTCGCACCCGTCCAGAGCCCCCGTTTAGCCCCTGTGGTGGACACATATGCCATGAGGGGAGGAGCCAATCAAAATTGGATCTCCCGCCACAGCACTGTCCACGACAGAGTTGCCCGTCCGGCACCGCGAGGAGGTAGGGGGTTGTTTTGCCGGACCACACACACTCACACACTCTCACACACACACTCACACACACTCACACACACTCACACACACACTCACACACTCACACACACTCACACTTTCACACACTCACACACACACTCACACACACTCACACACTCACACACACACTCACACACACACTCACACACACACTCACACACTCTCACACACACACTCACACACTCTCACACACACTCACACACACTCACACACACTCACACACACTCACACACACACACTCTCACACACACACTCACACACATTCACACACACAAATATAAAGACAAAGAGGGGGTGGGTGGCCTGCACCACGCCCGACCGCCTTTGTCTCCTTAGTTGCGATGTTTACCGGGTACTCGTTTTGAGGCTGAGTCGACCTAGGGGAGGCACGGGACCGGTTCGAATAATTGTTACTGGTGTTGGCTGTGAGCGGGAATCGAACCCGGCCTGCCGGGTTCATAGCGCAGTGTAGCGCTAACTGCTGCACGACTGTGTTGCCTGCACAGGATGTTGGCGCTGCTGCTGCAGTCGCCGCACAGGATTCACTCACTCAGTCACTCACTCATGGAGAGAGAGAGAGACTACTCGGAGGCGGGAGGAGGAACGACAGACGAGTAGTGAGAAGGCAGCAGCAGCCACGCAGTGAGCCGGCACCAACAATTGCCCAAGCTCTGCGGTCCTCTAAATATGACGGTCTTATTGGCCAATTCCTAAGTGTTTACATGTGGGAGGAAACAGGAGCACCCACAGAAAACCCACGAGTGCGAGGGGGAAGCACTTTATCCCAAACAGATTGAACAGGTGGAATCCACATTTATTGCCATTACGGCGGAGTCGGTCCTGAAATTTAAATATTTTTAAACAGAACCTTACATCTAATATTCTTGGTTCTTTCGGTAAAGTCACGTTGAAGGGAAACAATAAAGTAATAAAATATATATTGTTTCCCTTCAACGTGACTTTACTGAAAGAGCCAAGAATATGAATCACCGCAGTCACGAAATCTTTAAATCAAAATTTAGAACCTTACATTGATAAATATAAAACAATCAGTGTTTTGTCTCTGATGGGTATCAATATCATACTCTCGGGGTCTCGAGGGGTGGGGGCGATGCGGGGCGCCGTTAATGTCCACGCCGCAATCAGCGCGGCAGGAAATTAAATCAAAACGGAGCTTGACGCTGATTTTTGTTTGGCGTTGTGCGTCCCGCGCTGGTGGGGGGTGTGGGGTGTGGGCCGGCAGGCAACGGCGTGGGGGACGCGTGCGAGGGCGACCTGGACAACGACCACGTGCTCGACGCGGTCGACGTGTGCCCCGAGAACGAGCACGTGGCCCGCACCGACTTCCGTGCCTTCCAGACCATCGTGCTCGACCCGGAGGGCGACGCGCAAATCGACCCCCAGTGGCTCGTCCTCAACCAGGTTCCCTGTGCTCACCGACAAACACAAAGACCCCCCCCTCTGCAGCCTTCATAGACTCGTAGGGCATGTGCCCCCCTCTTGCGTAACAACCCCCAAGGTCTCCCCCCCCCCACTCCCCTCTGTGGGCAGTACATGGCACCAGCCCAGCCAGCCAGTCAAACTTTGTTTCTCATCTAATATGATTCCGCTTGCTTAGCCACAGCGACCCTGAATCTGGCTGCATGAACTGCCGATGTATCACCTCACTCTACGGGAATTGTGAAGGTTGTGGTTTTACTCTCCAACACACCGGTGTGCTGAAGTAGTATGGAATTAGCACGTTCTGTTTACGTGACAAACCTTACACATTTAGAGTAATGCGGTCTAACCCTTAAAACCTTTATTATACAGTAATATACTGTATTATACAGTAATATACTTTATCACGGAGGTGTTAAGGTGAACAAACATTACATCGAAGACGCTTGGTGCAGCTCCAAGCGATACGTCACGTGCGTTATTGCTACATTTTGTTGTGACCATTTTGTTCCTCCACTTAGCGGGTGAGCTGAGACGATGGTAGAAACACTTTGTGTTTTTAGTCTTCATTACGATCATTACTACGCTTGTTTACTCAGCGAAGCCTCACTGGGTGCCATGACTCTTTCAGGAGAGTCCTGTCAAGTGTTCGCAGTCGGGGGCGATTGTTGCTATGTACCGTCCCAATTGAGTAATTAGCAGTGTCATTCTTTCTAAATGTAGACACTATTGATCATGACGTCGGCACACAATGGCCTACCCTTGCGAATGGCATCACAGGATCTTTGAACGTCCACTGTGGACGTGCGGCCCCGTGGGCTATGCCCCTCGACCCCCCCATCCGCCTCCCTCCCCGACTGCCCCCCCCCTGCCCCCTGTACCCATGCGAGTGTTTATATATTTAAAAGCGAAATTATAAAGATATTGAACATGGTTTAACATATTCTGCTTGTCCCGGGCTAGAATATACGCATTTCAAGGACAAAGATACCCCGTTTAGCATCAACAGAATGTTGGGGCAAGTGCTGTTAGCGAGTAGCACCTATGAACGTCGGTACGGCACACGAGGGGGTGGGTGGGCAGCACCATGGCTGGTCGGCTTTGTCTCCCCAGGAGTGATGCTCACACATCGCACCAGGTACTCATTCGGGACGTACGCACGCACACTTTAAAATCTAGATTGAAAACGATTTTTTTTCATAACTGCACCTCCAATTAGCACAGTTGGCTAGATATGATACGAAATAAGTTCAACACACACACACATTCACTCGCGGATATTGATAAGAAGATCGATGCCAACTGCAGAACGGAGCTCACGCCATGCTGCGAGTGAATGAGTGGGTAGTTGAGTGAATGAGTGGGTAGTTTATTGAGTGAATGAGTGAGTAGTTGATTGAGTGAATGAGTAAGTGAATGAGTAAATGAGTAGTAGAATGAGTGAGTGAATGAGTAGTAGAATGAGTGAGTGGATGAGTAGTAGAATGAGTGAGTGGATGAGTAGTAGAATGAGTGAGTGGATGAGTAGTAGAATGAGTGAGTGGATGAGTAGTAGAATGAGTGAGTGGATGAGTAGTAGAATGAGTGAGTGGATGAGTAGTAGAATGAGTGAGTGGATGATTAGTAGAATGAGTGAATGAATGAGTGAGTGAATGAGTGAGTGGATGAGTAGTAGAATGAGTGAGTGGATGAGTAGTAGAATGAGTGAGTGGATGAGTAGTAGAATGAGTGAGTGAATGAGTGAGTGAATGAGTGAGTGGATGAGTAGTAGAATGAGTGAGTGGATGAGTGAGTGGATGAGTAGTAGAATGAGTGAGTGGATGAGTAGTAGAATGAGTGAGTGGATGAGTAGTAGAATGAGTGAGTGGATGAGTAGTAGAATGAGTGGATGAGTAGTAGAATGAGTGAGTGGATGAGTAGTAGAATGAGTGAGTGGATGAATAGTAGTAGAATGAGTGAGTGGATGAGTAGTAGAATGAGTGAGTGGATGAGTAGTAGAATGAGTGAGTGGATGAGTAGTAGAATGAGTGGATGAGTAGTAGAATGAGTGAGTGGATGAGTAGTAGAATGAGTGGATGAGTAGTAGAATGAGTTAGTGGATGAGTAGTAGAATGAGTGGATGAGTAGTAGAATGAGTGAGTGGATGAGTAGTAGAATGAGTGAGTGGTACCCTCTGGAGAGGCACGAGTGTTCTCGTTGTGGGCAGATGCCTTCATCCAGAAGTGGATTGGCAAAGTGCTCTGCATTACTATGTAATCATTGCTCTTATTATTTATATCTTTAGCACATGAACCTGCTGTGTGCATTAATGCCCCATTATATTTTGTTTTACTTTCGCCGCAGGGACGGGAAATTGTACAAACAAGAAACAGCGACCCTGGACTTGCGGTAGGTAAGTGAGCTGGGCCCCCCCTCTCCGTGACGCGACGGCTTTATGGGCACGGAGCGATCCGCACGCCATCGCCGCTGTTTGAGCCGCGGGCGATAAAAATGCTGCTCTCAGAGAAGAACATCGGAAATGTCGACACAGGAATCATCAGCGAAAGGCCACGGTGAGTTCATTGGCTTGCCGCAGATGTAAGCTCCGGGCACTCACCAATGCGGTGTGACAGCCTCTGCGAGCGTCGTGGGTGACCGGACAGCTCCCCCATCATGTCTAGGTACGGCCAAGAGACACCTGCGACATTTTGAACAAAAACCATGGGATTGTTGAGTCCGTGTGTTTATCTCTTCAGCAAGGAGACAACGATGCTGCGTGTGCTGCTGAAGAAACCTTTAAGCACACAGTAGCTCTCGCACCTTCAGCATGCATGACATGCGTGTGTTGAACTTCTTTCCCACCGTACGTTTCCAACCGTGCTGATCAGAAGTACGGGAGGACAACAAACTAACCACAAAAAGCAGTTCTAAAGAAATGAGTTTTCAGATTAAATTTAAAAGTGCACAGCTCCAGTGGCTTCCTAATATGGGAAGGAAGAGCGTTCCAGACGGCCGCAGAAGCGAATCTGTAAGTGCACGATGCAGCAGTGGCCGTCTTTGTTCGATGGTTAGCAGCCAAAAGCCGCAGTGAAGACGGCCACAGTTTGCGTGATGTTTTATGCTCCTTGACGAGATGAGCGAGGCGTTGTGTTTCACATGTGGCAAGGGCTTTGTGTGTAATGAGCGCGACCTCACAATGCAGTATATCAATGAGAGTGAGCAGAGGTCGCGCTACCTCATGCTTTGTTGTCCTTCCCCCGCACCTCTGATTTGCACGGTTGGCTACTTTCGGTGTGACTTGAAGTTCGACGTACACAGCGCTGTGATTGCATTCCCAGTACAGCCGTGCCTGTACTCCAGCAGCACCTAGCGCTGCCGGCGGGTGCGATCGCCTCACTGCGCCCCCCCCCCCCCGTGCCCCGCCAAGGCTTCACCGCCTTCAACGGCGTGGACTTCGAGGGCACCTTCCACGTGAACACCGTGGCCGACGACGACTACGTGGGCGTCGTCTTCGGCTACCAGGACAGCTCCAGTTTCTACGTGGTCATGTGGAAGCAGGTGGAGCAGGCCTACTGGCAGTCGACGCCATTCAGAGCCATCGCCAAACCGGGCCTGCAGCTCAAGGTTGGTGGGGGTTGGAAAGTCGGGGGGCGGTCAAACCAATTCGTGGATGAGGAGACAGCCCGACGCTTCGTTTGCACGGAGCCAGCGTCGCGGCCGTCGGGTTTAGTTTGTTTGTTTCTAACCAAAAGGGAGAACAAAGACACGAAAGGTGTTGATTATCGTGGCATGTCTGGGGCGTCTCTGTCATTAGCAATTTGACCAGGGCGGCCGGGTGGTGCAGTGGGAGCGAAAAGGGCCTAGGTTCGGTTGCCGGATCGGACGCCTTTCTGTGTGGGGCTTCTGTGTCCGTCCCCTCTTCTGCGTCGGTTTCCTCCGACTTCTCCGGTTTCCTACCACAGCTAAAACATTGTAACCAGTATTGGCTCAAAACATCCTCATGCTGAAAAATTACCTGCATGTTGGCCAGTCATCGAATCAAGGCGGCCACTGTATCGCACGCTTTCCGATACGCTTCCGCGGCCGTCTGGAACGCTCTTCCTTCCGTTATTAGGATGCCACTGGGGCTATGCACTTTTACGTCATCATCATCTAGCTTTACAAACTAATTTATTCAGAACTGCTTTTTGTTTTAGTATATTGTCCTTGTCTTGTAACTGTTGGATTGTGTTTAGTTTTAGTTGTCATTCCCCCGCACCTCCGATTAGCACCGTTGGCTACATACGGTGTGAAAGAAGTTCAACATACACACTTTACATGTTACTCAATTGGGATTACGCACAGGAACGTCATCGCCACCACCCCCATTGGATCTGGCATTTCAGCGTGCGTGCACACGTGCGTGCGTGCACACGTGCGTGCGTGCACACAGGCAGTGAAGTCGAGGACGGGGCCCGGGGAGAATCTCCGCAACGCGCTGTGGAACACGGGCGACACGGACGGCCAGGTGGCGCTCCTCTGGAAAGACCCACGCAGCGTCGGCTGGAAGGACCGCACCTCCTACCGCTGGCACCTGACACACCGTCCGCAGGTCGGCTACATCCGGTGAGACCCGCCGTGAGCTCCGACGATCAGCGAGGCGGGGGGGCCCTCACGGGGAGAGAGGACCCACGTGCAAGATCACAATCTGAATCTTTATTGTTACTGAAACAAGAGCTCCATCAAAAAAGCCTGTTCGCTAAATTGCCTCTGACTAATGAAAGTAAAATTATAATGATGCCCTTTCATTCAGAATCAGGATCTTTATTTATCCTAAAGGAATCCGATGAGCTATGAAGCTCTTTTTCACAGATGTCCAGTATGGGTGTGTCGGCAAGTATGGGTGGGTCAGCGAGATAGCGTTAGGGCCCTCGCGTTTCATCATAATTTTGTTGTGGCTTTCGTGGATTACAGAGATAGAGAGAGGCCAGAGAGTGAGCTATCGTTAGAGACTGCAAGATGATCAGAGGTCCATCTATGGTGTTTTAGTGCAGTCTCCCAACTACTTGGCCGCTTTATCTATGAACTATAAAGAAGGACCTTTATTATTACTGCACTTGTTTACCCAGGAAAGCCTCATTGAGTCTCAAGACACATTCTCAGGAGGCTCCTGCCAAGTTCTGCAGGAGGGAGGAGGGGGGTAACGTTGCTGCTCCGTGTCATCCCAATAGAGTAATTTGCTGTTAACGTGTAGCCTTGTGATGTTTGGCCAGTTACGTTGTATATATTTTTTTCAACATAAGGGATGCAGTGTTATTGATGAATTGGCCGACTTTTTATGATTGGCATTGGCTCGCGACTTAGACCAAGGGTCCATTGCGGAGTTTACTAACCGGTAAACCGGTTACCATTTTCAGAATCGATTACCAGTTCCGATATTCAGTCACCGAATAAATGCACCGATTTTAAGCAACTGAGAGATGTAATCTAACCGGCAACCCTGTGGGGATCGCAAGTCGAGTGCGACCCTAACCAGCAGCCTCGGCCTCTCAGTCGCAAGGCTGGACGGGTTGTGTTTGCCGCTCTCGACGGTACTAACCGGTTTTTTTACCGGCTTTTTCCACGCAGTTACCCATCCTGCAACAACGTTGACATAAACAAACCGAGTGGGTTCAATGATCGTTGTCGAGCATTCGTGAGTTAATTCGACCCAGGGCTGTTTGTAGAGGATGGCGACGTGCGTGTGCGTGTGTGCATGTGACAGGGTGGTGCTGTACGAGGGCTCGGAGGTGGTGGCTGACTCCGGGGTGGTCATTGACACGACGATGCGTGGTGGCCGTCTCGGCGTCTTCTGCTTCTCCCAGGAGAACGTCATCTGGTCCGACATACACTTCCGCTGCAACGGTGAGAGCCGCTGTCTAGCACTGCACGCACACAAAGACAGAGGCAAAGGTCGCCCGTGTAGCCTACTCAGGCTGTCGGGGTAAGCCCTCCACTTCAAATTAGCTCCAGAGAGCCCCCTCGTAGACGACATTGGCCTACTATTCCACGTTGGCCAGTCAAATTGAAAACAGGTGGCAGTCCCCACAGTCTACCCCACCACAGGTGAACAGGTGGCAGCCCCCACAGTCTACCCCACCACAGGTGAACAGGTGGCAGTCCCCACAGTCTACCCCACCAGAGGTGAACAGGTGGCAGTCCCCACACTCTACCCCACCACAGGTGAACAGGTGGCAGTCCCCACACTCTACCCCACCACAGGTGAACAGCCAACCGACTACCCTATTATGTAGTGAGCACCTACGAAGACTGGGGGTGCAGGGTGTGGCCGGAACTATACCCGGCCGCCTTTGTCTCCCCGTGCTGATGTTTACACAGCGGCACGAGATACTCATTTAAGGCTGGCTTGGCAACATGGGGGAGGCCCAGGAGTGGTTCAGATGATCACCACTGACGTTAGCCGTAGCCAGGAAGTCGAACTCACGGCGTTGGTTCTATATCCGGAAACAGATCTGAAATTTGATCTCCATCAGCAAGGCAATTAATTCAAGACAAAAATAAAAACAAAGTGTTTGTACTCTGGTAAATATCAATAACATATCCATTTCCATGGTCTCAAAGAGGGGGTGGGGGGGGGGAGAATCACCACCATTGCCCCCCACACCGTTTGTCCGTAGAGTAGCGAGCTAACCACGAACCACTCCGCTCGCGCTCGCCACGCACACAACACAACACACAACTGTCAAGACCTGCCGCGGATTAAATCATTCATCGTTAGATATCACATTACTCTCTTGACCTCTGGACAGAAGTGTCGATAAATTACCGTCACTTATACCGAAACGTTTCCCGTTCTTGAGAGGGCATGGATACAGCTATGCAGTTTCAGTTTTTTACACTATAAACTATAAAGAATCACAGATATTGCTGTTGGAAGTGCTCCTGTCGACCAGGGAAAGCGATGGTAGATTGCACCTATATGGTTGGTTCAGTGCAATTATATTATCATAAAATTGTAGTATGGCTATGAAAGCCTACGTTTTAAATGAATAAGCGAGTGCATTTGGTATTCACGCCATTCAGATGATGATCTAGCGCAAGACTATGATGAATGAAGGCGCTGCTGCTGTTTGACAGACACAGTTTGCGGTAGTTTGACGGTAGGGGGCGATGATTGCTACGCGTGTGATCCCCATTGAGTCATTTGCGGCGTCATCTTTGGCTAATTTCTCCCTGTGACGCCAGCACGCAGCGGCCTCCTCTTGCAAATGGCGTCAGGGGGATCTTTAATGTCCGCTGTGAAGCAGATGGCACATCGTATTATCCCAATTTTTATACACCGCAGTAATAATCAGGGCGGCCGCTGGATTCAAACCGCGAACCTCTGCGACAAGGGGCCCAGGGGTACTCGAAATTTATCGTTTTTTAGTTCTCCTGCTTGTTCTCTCTTTTCAGACACGCTTCCTCGTAACTTCAATACTTACTTTCGCAAGAGGAAGAACATGGCCCGGAATGGTCGGATGTGAGCCCAGGACAAACATCATATGAATCAACATGAATCGTGTGTGTGTGTGACCATACAAGCTATTCATATTCTGTCGCTTTAGAATTTTCTGGCGTTATTGGACCCTGATCTGAATGTACAAGACAAACAATGATGTAATATTGTTACGTGAATATAAATCATCCCTATAAGATGGCCGTATTTTGTATGATGTGAGGACAGTAATGTGAACTTGTGTTGACCTGCACAGTAGTCGCTAGAGAGAGAGAGGATGACTCAGAAGCGTGAGGAGGAATCTCAGACAAATGGAAAGGTAACAGCAGCCACGCGATGAACTGGCGATACGAACAATTGAATCATTTGGCGGGACCCCAGGGTCCCGCAAAAATCAGGTCAATAATTATTATTTTTCATTCCGCCCACTCGTGATCCCGACAACAACGCGCCGCCCGCCCAGACTCGCGCCAACAAGCGCCAGCAGGCGGCGATCAACACGATGGGCGCCACCCCACCGGCCAAACGCAAGCCCGGGGAGCGTCCGCCGCAGTTACGCGTGGCGACAACGCCCTCCGGTCAGCCGTCGATCCTCGGCTTCTTTGCCAAGGCGAGCCCGCCCCCGCAGTAAATTTAACGTGTTTATGTAATTTTTCAACTTTTTACGAAACTTAGTGCCCCGAGTAGCTCCCGACGAGGCCAATCGATTGACGCTAGTTTTGTTGTCGGTAAGGCAAGACTCGTGTCGCTACGCGGTTTTTCCCACCCCGGGGCAGTGATGGGACCCCGGGGTCCCGCCAATTGCTTCAATTGCCCAAGCTCTGTGGTCCTCTATATATTAAGGTGTTATCAGACAATTAATGAGTGTTTACATGTGAGAGGACACGTTAATTAACCCTTTCCTTTATGCTTTCAGAATGGCCACGTTATTTTTATTGTTTGAGCTTAAAAAGCACTAAATTCCAAAAACGATTACAGCAATAATAATAGACTTGTTGAGATTTATACTAAATTCAAATAAAATTATTGTTGTCAAAACTGAATTTTGTAATGTTGTCATGACAAGGTTTGTTGGCAGTGTTGTGATGCTTATTACGTATTAATTGTACGTGAGGCATGGGCCAGCAGTTGTGCAGTGGCTAAACACACATTGTGCCATGTACCTGGCGCTCCAGAGTTAGAATCCCATCCAAGGCCAACATCAGTGGCGTGCAAAATATCTGAACCAGTCCACCCACCCCCTCCGCCACTCTTACCGACCTGCACCGACCAGCGCAGTGAAGTACGGCCAAAAAATGTAACGTTTCGCAACAACCACCACCATGTGGAGGCCTTCATCCAGCAGTAGATTGGCAAGACTGTAAATTATTATCAATTGTACTCTTCCATTAGCTATAATTGCAATAGAAGCAGTGAGGTTACGCGGAGTGTACATTGGGCCCTGGAATGAATGCGGAGGGTGGGAGAGAAGCTTTTATTGTCGTGTGGTGAGAGAGAGCGAGCGAGGGTGGCCCCATTGAAAGCGGCAGATGCATTACAAACGTCACCCCCTCCACCTCTCCTCGCCCGAGCATCCTTCACTGACAACAACTGCACAGTTCACCTTGGCGCTCATCCTCACAGCAGATTACATGCTCATCAATGGCTGCTTCATGTCAACCCTGGTTGATAAGGGAGCTTAAGCGGAGACCGTTAAACAGGAGGGGGGGATGAAATGGGTCAGAATGTGGCGGTGAGATCAGAGGAACGCGGCGCTCACCCAAATGTTTCCCTTGCGAGCCGGCGTCCTTACGACGCCGGCGGCTCTCGGCGGGCTCGGGAGCGAGGGGCGAATCGACACGGGCCTCGCTTCAAGGGATGAGCGGGGAATATCGAGCAAATGACTTACAGTGTGTACATGTATGTTGGACTTCTTTCGCGCCGTACGTAGCCAACCGTGCTCATCGGAGGTGCAGGGAGGGGAGTCGGGGTGACACGATGGGAGCTGACTTCGCTGTGTCTTTGTTTGGTTCATAATCATAATACTCTCGTTTTATATCGCGTCATTCATGCTAATAGCATCCCATAACGCTTTACATTAATTATATATCAGGACAAAATGCCATATACAGCCACTAACAAGCAAATGAAAATCCTACTAGCATTAAAAAATAATTAATACACAAATAAAGAAGTGGCACTAAATAAACCAACACAAACAACAAAAACGTGATCATAACACAGAACTTAGTCCATTAGGTCTCCACATCCCAGGTCGCAATCCCAACTCCTGAGATCGATCTGTGTTCGCACAATGAAACTCGATAATAATAATCATTTATAGAGGACCGCAGAGCTTAGACAGTTGTTGGCAGCGCCGGTTCACATCGCGTGTGGCTGCTGCTTCTGCTGCCTTCTCGTCTGCGGTTCTGAGTCGTCCTGCGGCGGCAGCGTGGAGTTACAAGTTGACATTATTATGATTATTGTTGTTGTCCGTGTCATGTAAATAAAGGGCCACGTTGAAGTCTCACTCAGAGTGGCTTTTCAGGAGCGGCGATGTGATCGTATTGGGTGCGGCCATGTTGCGATGGTGAGTCAGCACACTGCACCTGCAAGCCCAGAGGTTTCCGGTGTAATTTGATCTCCCAGCAGGGCCGTGTTTGAAACCCTGGGAAGTTGTTTAATGCCCCCCCCCACCCCCCACGTCGCTGTCCACTCAGCAGCCAGATGCGGACCTGGACCTTCCCAGGAGAGTGGTAGGGGGGGGCAGTCCTGACATTTCAAGATTTTTAAAGAGGGTCCCCTACATCAACAACAACATTTAAATACATATTCTCTGGTATCAGTTCAATATGATTGTTCCGGTTCTCAATGGGGGGAGCAATTCCCCTAACCGCCCCCACCCTGGGTTTGCCACTGCCAGCAGTGTGGGTACTCCTAGCCCTTCTACTCTGTCCGGCCAGCATGGAAGAGTAGACCAAATACCCTCTAGAGGGGCTCTCAAGAGCTGCCTCTAGTTGAGGCCCTTCTGCCAGCAGTGGCGTGAGCGAGCGATTGCAGGGCTGCGCCTTCACCTGTGTGAGTAACGGCGATACCGCTCAGCACCCCGCAGGGACAGCTTTACGAGCCGACTTTCTGTCCTGATACCTCTCACGACGAGCTCGCCTTCTCGCGGGGAGGTTGGAGACTTTCACAAATCTCGACGTGACTCACCAACCCTTGCCTCCGAAGCCCCCGATTAACCGAGTCTTCAGGAGGGTCCTGCATTGGGATGTTTAGACAAGAATGACATCCCAGTCAACATGGCACCACATGGCAACGTTGCCAACGTTGACCCAACGTTGACGGTGCGTGTGAAATGTTATGCATAGGCTTTCACGACCAATACCATGATTCGTAATTGGTTTATTTTGGGTGAGGTCTTAGGTCGTGTAGACGGCGTGTCGGTAACTCTCCTCCACTCGACAGCCAGTGAGCTACAAGCATCGCGTGAATCCAACAGTGCCAAACGTATTCACTGCTTGGGGGGCACCGCCGGCGACGTTGCCGGCGTCCGCGTCGCTGTCCAGCTCTGGGACGGCGCCAGGCAACTTGGTGGAACCCCATGGGGGGTGGGGGGGGGGGCTAACCCCGGGGCCGGCAGCCTGCGGCTCCAAAGCGGCGCGTGGCTCTCTCGGGGACTGCCCCGTGACGACGTTAACGCGCGGTGCGGCTACTGGAAGACGGTGGGGAAGGGGGGAAGGGGGGGATGGGGGGATGGGGGGGATGGGGGGATGGGGGGGATGGGGGGGATAGGGGAGATGGGGGGGGGATGGGGGGGGATGGGAAGGGGGGGAAGGGGGGGGATGGAGGGGAAGGGGGGAAGGGGGGATGGGGGGGGGATGAGGGAGATGGGGGGGAAGGGGGGGATGGGGGGGATGGGGGGGGATGGGGGGGATGGGGGAGATGGGGGGGATGGGGGGGGATGGGAAGGGGGGGAAGGGGGGAAGGGGGGGATGGAGGGGAAGGGGGGGGAAGGGGGGGATGGAATGGGGGGGGAAGGGGGATGGGGGGGATGGGGGGGGATGGGGGGGGATGGGGATGGGGGGATGGGGGGAAGGGGGGAAGGGGGGGATGGGGGGGATGGGGGGGATGGGGGGGGGGGTCTTTTTACCGAATTAGAAAACAAAGAGTGTCCCTTCTCGTGATTGCCGATCCCCCCTGGGGCCACCCCCAGAGACTCCCGGTGGCGGTACGTGTCTGTCTGTCACGGTACGTGTCTGTCTGTCACGGTACGTGTCTGTCACGGTACGTGTCTGTCTGTCACGGTACGTGTCTGTCTGTCACGGTGCCGTCACGGTACGTGTCTGTCACGGTATGTGTCTGTCACGGTATGTGTCTGTCACGGTGCGTGTCTGTCTGTCACGGTATGTGTCTGTCACGGTATGTGTCTGTCACGGTATGTGTCTGTCTGTCACGGTACGTGTCTGTCACGGTATGTCTGTCACGGTGACGTCACGGTATGTGTCTGTCACGGTATGTGTCTGTCACGGTGACGTCACGGTATGTGTCTGTCACGGTATGTGTCTGTCACGGTGACGTCACGGTATGTGTCTGTCACGGTATGTGTCTGTCACGGTATGTGTCTGTCACGGTATGTGTCTGTCTGTGACGGTACGTGTCTGTCACGGTATGTGTCTGTCACGGTACGTGTCTGTCACGGTATGTGTCTGTCTGTCACGGTATGTGTCTGTCACGGTACCGTCACGGTACGTGTCTGTCACGGTGTCGTCGAAGGTAAAAGAGTTAACGGGGGGGGGGGGTGACTGGCATCGGCACAGCGGTGGTACGTGTTCGAGCCGACACGTGTCTCCAATTAGCCGCCTACCGCATGACACCATTTCGCCCGTCGCCCCGGCAACCGCTCCCCGGCTCGCATAGAAGTCAGCTATTTTTACGCCTTTTCATCGGCAATCTCCGCCTCGCCAAGCGCCCCGTCTCTCCTGCCGCCGCTGGGTGGGAGAGAGAGAGAGGGGGAAGCGCTCTCGGAGCGAGCGGCACGGTATTGGGCGCGTTGTGTTCTCTTCATTAAAAGTTACACGGTGGTGGTGGTGGGGGGTTAGCAGCGGATTCCCGGGTGGTAGAGAGGTGGGTGATCGCTCCCCACTTCCCCACCACCTCAACTTGACACATCGCAAAGTGATGTTGTGTTATCCACAATACGGTAGGACCAACACCTCGGCCGTGGCAGATCACTGTAATAATTCAGTAGGCTCACATGACATTGACTTCTCCAAGACAGAGGTTATTTGCAAAGCCATCTGGCTACCATGGGAGATTCCTTCATGAGGCTATCCACATATACAAACACAGAGACAATTTCAACCGAGAAGATGGATTCTGGCTTAGCAATCATTGGAAGGATTTGATAAACCATTTCGGGTCTTAATTGATTGTTCACGCTTAAGGTGACTTTCAGACCGCATCCATTATTTTCGTCTCCCCCCTCCTCTTTTCCGAACATAGATGGACTCGTCCATCTGAATAACTGCCAAATCGCTCTCCGTGGTGCTAACGTTAAAAACCGCCACTTTTTTAAAAAATCTCTTGCTGCGGTTTTCACACCTGATGATGATTGCTTGTGTTGCAGTCGAAACGTCGTGAGAATTGTATTGTTTTATATTTTTATTATTGTATTGTTTCCCTTCTACGTGACTTTACCG